ACCCCTCGGCGGGAGCGCTACCGCGCTCCCAAGCGGCGCACTGTAGCAGTGCGCCACCGGGCCGGCCCCGTACTGTTGGTTTTTTAAAAAGATATTCAAGATAGGGGGAACCTTGGCTGTCGATTCATATTTAAAAAAAAAAAGAAAACTAAAAGCCAATAGGAAGTTCTATATGCATGGGTTTCCCTTGGGCTAGTCAGTTTCCAATTAAGAAATCTTTTATTAAGGCCGGCCTGTGGCTCACTTGGGAGAGTGTGGTGCTGATAACACCAAGGCCACAAGTTTGGATCCCTATATAGGGATGGCCGGATAGCTCACTTGGGAGAGCATGGTGCTGACACCACCAAATCAAGGGTTAAGATCCCGTTACCAGTCATCTTTGAGAAAGAAATCTTTCGTTCTCCTGCTTAGAGTTGCATGGACAGAGTGGTGGTATGCCATCATTCTGGTAACCCAGAGAAAATAAGAGAGTTGGAGTCTCTCAGTCCTATGCAGACTTTTATTTAATGACTGTCAACAGTGTGATACTTCATCCCTGCCATTAGCTGTATCTGGTGTCTGTAAGTCTAGCCTGTCAGATTCAGCCTCTCCAGAAAGGAAGCCTCTGCTCCTCCTCTCAGTGGTTCTATGGTACAAATTGGCTTGCTGCTTCTTGGCATTTGTCGTGTAGGAGTTATATTTTAGCTTTTTCATTCTGAAAGTCAGTTACCATTTATCCAGCTGTTTTCCTCTTCCAAAAGTCTGTTGATATCTCTTGACTGCTCTCCTCCCTTCATTCTTGCTGATTTTTACCCCTTTTTTGGGTCATTTTAGTGGGATTTCAGGAGGGAGCAAGTTAAATATGTAGCTCAGTTGTCCATGTTAACAGGACATACAGTGCAGCCTTTTTTTTAGGTCAAATGTACTTTGGCTTTTCCAGGATAAATAAAGGATTACTGGTAAGGCTGAGAAATTATTCCTTTCTTCTTGTACTCTTGCCTAGAAACATGGGGACATATGTTCGCCCAATGTATTTCTAACCCTATAAGGAGGTGCTAGTAATGAGCTATAACTATAATTGTAGTAAGATATCTGGTCCTTTTCCCCTTGTGTAACGCTCTTAATCCTATTCGTGACGCCAATTGTCTAGCTACACGACCACGCCAGTTGTCAGGCTCTTTTACCTGCTGGTAATCCTGCACCAGCTGGGCCAACTGTCGAGCTAAGGCTAGGTCTGGAGCCCCCAGACCCCTCAAGCGCATTGTCCAGACTGGGTCACAAACCCTTCATATGCCAAGCTGGGTCACCAGACCCCACACGTGCAGGTCTATGAGCTAGGTAACTAGCCAAAAGGTCCTTGGAGCCATAGGTTGGAAAGCATGGCCACGCCAGGCAGACACCTGAGGCAGATGCCTGCCTGCCTGCTTCACTAAAACTCTCTCTCTCTGAAGAACACAAGAATAGCAGCAAAACTAAAAAGATACATTGGCTCACATGCACACTAACTACACACACACACACACACACACACACAATTTGCTTACAAAAGATGTGCTAAAACCACACCCAACTGGACCCAAGGCGAGGGCCCTGACCAAACTATTCCATTTTCCCAAAAATCCACCCCTTCAGGGTCCTTGCTGCACAATCCACGCCTTCAGAATCCTCTGCAATGTTCCCTCAATGAGGATAAATGACCCTTACATATACATATTACACATTCCATCCCAGTTCCGCAAGCCTTCAGCTTGTTGCAGTACCAATTCAAAAGTCCAAAGTCCCCTCTGAGACCAAAGGCAAAAGTCCTTCCAGCCGTGAACCTGTAAAGAGTCAAAAACAAGTTTATCTACTTCCAGGATACAGTGGGACAGACATTGGGTACACATTCCCATTCCAAAAGGGAGGAAAAGAAAGGAAAACAGTGTCCAAACAAATCCAAAACCCAAACAGGGCAAACATTAAGCACACTGGGGCATGTGGACCCCTAAAGCATTTGGCAACCTTGCTCCTACAACTCTGCCAAGTGCAGACCATTGAGCTGCCTGGTGCCTGCAGCTTTTCCAGGCTGGCACTGCACATTGCCAGCAGCCCACAGTTCTGGGCTCCTGGTGGCAGTCCCCCCATCCTGGCATTTCCTTGGCGGGGGTTCTCTGTGGGGGCTCCAACCCCACTTTTCTGCTCCACATTACTCCATAGATGACCTCCGCAGCGGCTCCACCCCTGCAGCAGGTCTCTGCCTTAGTCCCCCAGCTTATTTATACATCTTCCAAAATCTAGGTGAAGGCTGCCACGCCTCCACTGCTCTCACATACTGCTGGCTTGCAAACTTAACACAACGTGAACACCACCAGCCACCACCAAGGTTTTTGGCTTTTGCTCCTTGGAGGTGCTGAGGCAGCATTGCTCCAGCCAGAGCAGCTTGGACGCAGGGAGCAGTTTGCTGAAGGCAATGACACCTCAGGTCTGCCCTCTGGGACAAAGTCAGTTCTCCTAGGATGGGAGGGGTACTCTCCCAAACTTCTCAAATGCCCTCAGGGCCTGTGATGGGTGGGGGCCCCCATCGAGACTTCTCAAATGCTCTTAGGGCTTTTTTCCCCATTGTCTTGGCTCTTAGCATCTGGCTGCCTCACCTCCAAGATAATGTCTTTAGCAAACAGTTTATGGGCTTCACCCTTGCATTTTTCTCCTGCTCTCCACTTTTACATTCTGGCTTTAGAATTACTTCAATCAGCTCGGCTTACATCGGCTACTCACTCAGTCTCAGGCAGTTCAGCAGCATTCACCCATGCATTTCAAACAGCTGCATTTTCCCAGTCCATCAAGGAGTGGCTGTCCTGCCCCTGTGCATATCTGCTTTCCTGTGACTGCTGCCACCGAGACAGGCACATAGTAAGGGAGACTGATTTTTCCACCTTTTCAACAGGTAAAAACATGCTTGAAATTCTGCAGGGGCACTTGTCCTTGGGTCATCTGCCCATCTGCATGTGGCACTCTTTTCTCGGGTTTTATGGTACCCAGCTGGCCATCAGGTTTAAGTGGCACCCTCCAAGCCTTTTGGCTTCAGACAAATGCAACATGCGTTTACTGCATAGTCTCTAGAGCACGCTCCATCATCCACCCCTAGGTCTCATAGCTGCAGCCGCCAAGCAGCCAGGGGCTCTCCCTGTTTCTGCTGCTTTACTGTCTCAATTTCTCGTGCACAACAGGTCGTGCCTGGAGATGCATGGGTTTTCCCCAACTTACCACTGGATTGGTCGTCTTCCTTGGCATGAGAGGCAGGAGTGGCCAATCACTGCACGCTGTCCTTCAGGACATTTATCCTTGCTTCCAACACCTCTGCTTTCTGCCGCAAATCTCGATCAGTTTGCAGCATACTGAGCAATAGCCAGGCTCCGGTCAGCAGAAAAGTGGCCACCGGGCACCACATGCTCAAGGACAGCCACATTCCCTCCCCTTCCCAAGGGGTTTTGCATTGTAGTACCTGGTCTATGCTGCCTTGCAGTACACTGTGCAGCAACCAGATCCCAGTCAACAGGAAGGTGGCCATAGGGCAGAGCATATTCACAAGTAGCCACATTTCCCCCTTCTTCCAAGGACTTTTGGCTCCTGTACCTGCTCAGAATCCTGTCGCAGACTACGCCAATTGTGGGGCTCTGCTAAGCTATGGCTAAGGCTAATGTCTGGAATCCTGTTGACATCGCCAGTTGTAGCACTCTTAATCCTGTTCATGATGCCAATTGTCTAACTACACGACCACGCCAGTTGTCAGGCTCTTTTACCTGCTGGTAATCCTGCACTGACTGGGCCGATGGTCGAGCTAAGGCTGGGTCTAGAGCCCCCAGACCCCTCAAGCCTATTGTCCAGAATGGGTCACAAATCCTTCATACGCCAGGCTGGGTCACCAAACCCCACACATGCCAGGCTGGGTTACCAGACCCCACACGTGCAGGTCTATGAGCTAGGTAACTGGCCAAAAGGTCCTTGGAGCCATAGGTTGGAAAGCATGACCAACCAGGCAGACGCCTGAGGCAGATGCCTGCCCGCCTGCTTCACTCAAACTACTCTCTCTCTTTCTGAAGAACACAAGAATAGCAACAAAAAGATACATTGGTGCACATGCGCACTAACTACACACACACACACACACACACACAATTTGCTTGCAAAGGATGTTCTAAAACCACACCCAACTGGACCCAGGGCAAGGGCCCTGACCAAACTGTTTTATTTTCCCAGCACCTTGGAATCAAATAAGCTTGAGCTTCCAAACCTAAAAGTTAAGAAGAAATAAATTCTTAATGTAAACAATCCTTTTAATCATATGTGAATCACCACCTCTCTTTTTCTAAGAAATAAGTGCAATTTTCATACTAAATGGTATTTTTTCTATTACTATGAGGAATTGTCATAGAAAAATTGGAGGAGGCATAGGTTCTAATCAATGAAGATTATCATGAATTGTAGTAAACCACGAATCAAATATTTAAATAATTCCCCATATGGAGTTGGTGAAACAATTGCTAACTAAATGTGGCATATGCAATGAAGAGATACTATTTTTCACCCATCAGATTGGTAACAATTTTGGAGTGTAGTAATATCAAATATTGACAAATGTGCAGGGAAACAAGTACTCTCACACATAGCTGGTGAGAGTGGAAATTGGGATAGCCACTTTAGATGGCAGTATCTGTTAAATTAAAATGTGTACCCTCGTGACCCTGTAACTCCACTTCTCTCTAGTAAAACCTTGTACATGTGTACAGAAGGCATGTGTACATGTGTACAGAAGGCATGTACACAAATATTTCATTATGATAAAAAAAAAGAATGAGGTGGCTCTGTATTCACTGATACAAATAAATCTCTAAGACCGATTAAGTAAAAAAACGCAAGTTACAGAATAATATATACATATAGTATAATTCTGTTTATGTTTTTTTGTTTTCATTGTCTCCATTTTATTTTATTTTATTTTAACTTACACATTGTAATTGTACACACTTATGGAGTACAATCTGATATTTAGATACATATATTTGTGGTATAATAATCAGATTAGGGTAGTTAATGTATCCACCACCTCATGCATGTATCATTTCTTTGTGGTAAAAACATTCAAAAGCCTCTCCTCTATCTATTATGTAATATACAAAACTTAACTGTTAACCATAGTCACCCTATTGTGCCACAGAACACCAGAACTTATTCCTTCTATCTAATTGTAATTCTGTACCCATTGGCCAGCCTCTCCATTTTCCCTCCCCCCGCCTTCCCTTCCCCAGTTGCTGGTAACCACTGTTCTATTCTCTGCCTCTATAATATCAACTTTTTTTTTTCTTAGATTCCACATATGAGTGGGGTCATATGGTATTTGTCTTTCTGTGCCTGGCTTACTTCACTTAACATAATGATCTCCAAGTCCATTCATGTTGCTACAAATGACAGGATTTTATTCTTTTCTGTGGTGGAATAATATTTCATTGTGTATATATACCACATTTTTTTTTATCCATTTATCCGTTGTTAGACACTTACGTTAATTCCATATCTTAGCTATTGTAAGTTGTGCCACAATAAAACATGGGAGTGCAGATATCTCTTTGACATACTAACTTCATTTCCTTTGAGAATATACCCAGTAGGGGGATTGTTGGAAATTCTATTTATGCTTAACACACATTTTAATTCACACACACACACAAATATATATGCGTGTGTGTGTGTATATACTCTATATATTATTTTTATTTTTTTATTTATTTATTTTTTTTTGTCTTTTTCCGTGTCCGGCAACGGATCGCAACCCTCAGTGTTGCCCCCGCACCGGACCGGGGACCGGCAACGGGATTGCAACCCTCGGCGCTGCTCCCGTGCCTCGCTCAGCCAGTGAGCGGGAACCGGTCTGTATGTGGGATCCGAACCCTCGGGCGGGAGCGCCGCCGCGCTTCCCAAGCGGCGCACTATCCAGTGCGCCACCGGGCCGGCCCTATATATTATTTTTATATATTTATTATATATATTCTAGACATTTATATATGTAATATATACTCTATATTTTATATATTTAATGTATATTTAATGTGTAATATATAATATTATGTAATATACATTTCTATATATGTAAATGTCTAGATGTGTAATATGTAGTAAAAAGTGTCTGGAAGATCTTCACCAAACTGTTAACAGTGGTTTACTTCTGGAGAGGATACTGGAATTTTGGCAGGGGTGAGGCAGTCAAGGGAACTTGACCTTTATATGTATTATCTAAATTTTTTTTTTTTTTTACAAGAATGTATATTCATGTTACTTCTATAAGTAAAAATAAATATAAAGAATGCAGGGTACAAAAGCAATTTCTGGTAATTTGTATCTATGAATATTCATAATAAAAAATAAATAAATGGGGAAAAAAAGAATGCATATACACACACACATTATTGACCAGTTTAAATACACAGAGTAACTATAAAGCCATGAGATTGATTTTCATTGGTTATGCTGAAGTGGCTCAGTAGATTGCTTGAAAACAGCTGTAGCCTATTTAGAAAACTCTGATGTATCCCCACCTAACCTGCCTCAGCTCCTTTGTGTCAATCTAATGCTGGTCTAGGGCCTGCATATAATCTTGGCTGCCAACCACTTATTCAGCCAATTATTTTTTAATCTTTTTTGCTTATGAGAACAAGATGGACTCTGTTCATTGGGTTTTCCCAATCTTGGAAATTGACAAATTTCAGTTGCTAGAATTCATTTCCTAAATGCATGCAGAACTGCAGTTGCTATTGAGTAGGTAAGTTTGAAAGTTCTAAATATAAGAATATTTGTACAGTTCTTTAAAGTTTACAAAATGTCTTTACCTTTTTATTTTATTTGTTCTTCCCAACAACCCTGTGAAGTAAGTGTTATTATTAATTATTACATAGATAGGGAAACTCTCATGAGTCCCCAAGACTACCCCTCGGTCTGAAGATTCACTAGGAGGACTCACAGGACTCAGCATATAGTCATATTCACAGTTAAGATTTATTACAATGAAAGGATACAAAGAAAAATCAGCAAAGGGACAGGCACATGGGCAAAGTCTGTAGGAAACCAGGCATAAGCTTCTAAGAATTTTGTTCCAGTGGAGTCACACAGGAAGCACTTCTCTCCTCCAGTAATGGGTTATGACAACATGTGTGGAATGTTGTCTGCCGGAGAAGTGCCCCTGAGCCTAGGAGTCCAGGACTTTTACCAGGGGTCAGCATTCTCTGCATTGTACATACCAAAATTCTAGACTCCCAGAAAGAAGGCAGATATTCAGGATAAATCATATTATTTGCACAGTTTAGGCATAGTGGCCCACTCTTTTATCAGTTAGAGAATGGTGGGAACCCTTCCAAAATCTAAGTTCCCAAACATGAACCAAGGGCCAACCTTGCAAGCAGGTCTTTTTAAGGATAGCAATCTCAGGCCTGCTATATTAACTCTTTTCTGCACAGAAACTAAGACTAAAAGAGATGAAGTAACTTTCCTTAGAATACTTAAATAGTAAGTGTTGCAGTCAAGATTCAAATCCAAGCCTTTGGATTCCAAGTCCATACTTTTCTGCTACATAACATTAATTTCCATCAAATCAAGAACAAATGTTTTTAGTGTGCAATGAAAGTGGCAAAACAATGCATAGTTCCTCGAGACATGGAATGTTGAAGCAATTTTCTTCTTGTGCTATGTAATGCTTTCTTTCTCTCTAACCTTTCTAGGATAACATTAAAAATCTAGAATTGGAAGTCATCAGTCTGCAAAAGGAAAAGGAAGAATTGGTTCTTGAACTTCAGACAGCAAAGAAAGATGTCAACCAAGCAAAGTAAGAATAAAGTCAAATGTTATGTCAAGTTCCTTCTATGTGTGAAGAGTTTTAGAGGGAATAGAGAAGTAGAAGACCCATTTACTGCCCCCAAAGGATTTAAGCCTACTTGTGGAGAGGAGACCTAAACATAAGAAAGGTTAAGTAATCAAGATTTTAAGTAACATCTGAGAATGACAGTAAAAAATGCCATGACAGAGCACTTGATTAGTAACCAAATAAATAAATTTCTTAGGCAGTAATTGCATTAAGAGTTCAGAGTCAGGATATATCAATTCAGGATGGCATGATCAGGGAAGGCTTTACAAAAAGTGAACATTTGAGTTGGCCTTTGAAAGATTATGAGACCTCCTTCACAGCAATAGTTTCCTTGTCCCTATACAGATGGTAAATTAGCTTGTGCATAGCATTAATGTCCAGGCTAGTGATTAAAAAATCAGTCTAAGTATCTATTACAGTTGAGAAGAAAACCAAGACAGATAGCCATGCATCCTACTCTCGACCAGACCTCTGTCTTATTGGCTATTCTACCTTCTTTTTACTCGGTGACTCTGTTTTCTCTCTCTGTTGAGTCTAAAGCTCATGTTCTTAAAAGTTATGCTTAATGTTTACTATCTCAGACTTGTGTAATAATTGACAGAATTATTCCTTACAGCTAAAGTGAAGTGACATGCCTTAAAAGAACCATTTTTTGGACACAAGTGGTGAGGGAGGAGTGTATTAAGGCAATTGCATTATTGCATACTCAGAAAATTTTGTTGTTTTACTATTTGTATTAAGCTCCCATTATTGAGACAGTTTTTGTTGCTTGGGTGGTATTTGTTATTTTAAAGATGGCTATGTGACTAGTCACCTATTTTATATATGTCAGCGTTGTGAACCTGGGAGTCTAGTATTATGTCTTTTGAAGTCAGGCTTTGTTGCTGGTAGTCTTCACTCCTACAAGCATCTGTGTTTAGGTTGAGTGAGCGCCGCCGCAAACGTCTCCAGGAGCTGGAGGCTCAAATAGCTGATCTGAAGAAAAAACTGAATGAACAGTCCAAACTTCTGAAGCTGAAGGAATCCACAGAGCATACTGTCTCCAAACTAAACCAGGAGATATGGGTAATAAAATCTCATCCTTGCATTTACCCCATTGGAACTTACAAACACAGATGTTCTGTTTAGAATTATGCTACAGAGGTGTTTTCAGGTGAGAAACTAGCAGGCAAAACAATCATTGAAGTGTGTGAATCTCCACAAATATCCCTTTTGCAGGACATGATGATGGTAGTCATCTGATAATAAAACCTTGCTTTGACATTCAGAGTTTAATGTTAGATTCTCTGAACCCAAAGAACAAAATCTCAGTATTTAGTGGTGATATCCTGATCACCTTCCATGCTGTTTTGGCATAATTTCATAGCAAGATGACAGGCACCTAGAGAAAATTCTCAGTTTTTGAATTTTCAACTTGTAACATCCACAAAGTGGTGATTATAGGCCACTTGTACTGAAACTTTTAGAATACAGTGGTTGCTAGATGGATTTGTCCTTGAGGCTTAGTAGATATTTCCTTGAAATTTCATTTATATATAGTGAATTTAGGGCTGAATTTAGCTTCTAGGTACATTTTTCTTTTATTTTTTTCATAATGTCTATTTGTGTACTCTATACTTGGAAACCCTATGCAAACATAGCAAGGGGTATTGCAAGCCTAATCAGAAAATATGTTGGTGGCCTTCTCATCTTGGCTCGAGTTTCTCCTTTCTTAATGGTAAGTCTATTCATCTGCACATTGGCCTAGAATAAAATTCAGAGGACTAATACTTATACTGGTTTTTGTTTTTACAGATGATGAAAAATCAGCGGGTACAGTTAATGCGTCAGATGAAAGAGGATGCTGAGAGGTTTAGACAGTGGAAGCAACAAAAAGACAAAGAAGTAATCCAGTTAAAAGAACGTGTAAGTAACTAAAAATTCTCAAAGACCTAGCTGATAAACCCTTCTCTGGGCTGACTAACAATATTGAAGCTTCTCTTCAAACGTGGTATCTCCAAAAATGTGACATATTCGTGAATTTAACAGTATTGTATTAAATGTCTACTATGTGCAAGGTACTGTCGACTAGGTACCATGGGAAATAGAGAGATGAGTAGTATATGATCTCTGCCTTTGAAAAATGCCTTGTCTTAAGGGGAAGGCAATAATACACATGGATTTCTCAAATATAAGGAATAAAGAGATCTGGGCTTTAAGAATGTTATAAAATACCAGAATAGCTAAGAGAAAGGAAAGCACACTTCCAGTTGGAATGAAAAGATGATACCGAACAGGCCCTCAATAATAGGGAGGATTTTGATAGAGTTAAGTATAAGCATTCCAGATAGATGGAACAATAGTAGCAAAGACAGAGATGACAACTTTATCTTTCTCTCTCTCTCTCTATCTCTCTCTCTCCCTCTATTTATTTATTTTAAATTTTATCTTTTTGTATCGAAACATAATTGATTATACATATTTGTGGGGTACAGTGTCGAATATTCATACTTGTGTGCAATATGTGATGCTCAAGTCAGGATAATTAGTATATTCAACGTTACACAATATAATTATTTTTGTAGCCCTTTACCAGTTTCTCTCCACCTCCCCTCTCCTTCCCCCTTTTCCCACCTCTGGTGGTCTTAGTTCTGTACAGAGATAACAACTTTGTAGACATATTCAAGGAATGGTGAATGGTCCAGGTAGGATGAAGGATAGTAGTAGAAGATTCTGTTGGAAAGGCAAATTGAAGGTGGATTATTAAAGATCCAAGATGTTTGAACTTTATTCTGTTAATAATGTAAAGATTCTTAGGGGTTTTTGAGAAACAAAGTGTTATCAGCAAAATACTGCTTTAGAAAGATGTATCTGGGAGTAATGTGTAGAACAAACTGAAATAGTGAGAAACTAGAGGCCAGAACACAAGTCAAAAAGATATTGATTATAAGGGCATGAATTAGAGTAGTAACAGTGTTCTTGGGAAGCACACTGGAAAGAACATTGATTTGGGGAAAATTTTAGAAGAATTGGCCAGAATGTTATGTGTTGGGTCAAGAGATAAGGAGAGGAAAAGCACTTTCAGAATGGCAGCATGAAGAATTTTGTGGACTCTCTTCCCAGCAAAACAACAACTGATGAAATTTGTAAAAACAACTATTAAAAGACTCTGAAAATTGTCCTAAGGGAATACAGGAAATGGAGAAACATTTATTTAAGAAAACCTACTAAATCTTAGTAAGAACAGTAAGAATCTGTCGCATTTGAGCCACAACCATCTCTCTCTCCACTTTCCCAACTCCCAGTCAGCAGCTATAGTTTCTTCCCAGTAGGAACAGGCCTCCAACATGTTTCATTCCCCATAGGTGTGTGTTGCCAGAGCTCTATTTCAGGCGAGAACAGCCAAGAGGTCTGGGATTCTCTTCTTCTGTCTAGCTCACTCATATAGGGTGGAAGCTTTACCCTTGCTGCAGAAGGCCAGGAATATAGGGGCCTGATTATATCAACCTATCTAATCATAGGATATAGATTCCATGTGAGGAGAGGCAAGCCAAGAAGAGCAGAGTATAGTGCCCCTGCCCAGTACCCTACTTGTAGAACCACTCAGAGAAACGGGCTGCAGTCCCTGCCCCCAGATCCCAAGCAGTTGTGCAGAAATTCTGTCTCAGGGAGAGGCAGGCCATAGGAACAACCATAGGAATGTAGCTCTCCCTAAGGGGACTGACTTTATTTGGGGACAGAATCTGGGGAAATTCAGGCCTAAAGGTGTTGTTGAAAACAATGGAAATTTTGGTGGTGAGCAACTAAGAGGAGACTGGTAGCTCTATGAGAACAGTAAGTGAAACAGCAGTAAAAATTCACAAACTGATCCTAAAATTCATATATTCAAAGCAATTAAAGAGAAGAACAGGGCCAGCCTGTGGCTCACTCGGGAGAGTGCGGTGCTGATAACACCAAGGCCATGGGTTCGGATCCTATATAGGGATGGCCGGTTCGCTCACTGGGTGAGCATGGTGCTGACAACACCAATCCACGGGTTAAGATCCCCTTACCGGTCATCTTTAAAAAAAAAGAAGAACAAATTTGAAGATGCACATTTCCTGATTTCAAAACTTTCTTCAAAGCTACAGTAATTAAGACTATGTAGTAGTACTATGTAAGGAGAGACATATAGATCAGTGGAACAGAATTGAGAGTTCAGAAATAAACTCATACATTTATGGTCAGTTGATTTTCAATGGTACCAAGACAATTCAATGAAGAAAGAATAGTTTTTTCAACAAATGTTTCTGGGACAAATGGATATTCACATGCAAAATAATGAAGTCAGAACTTGCCTCACACCATATAAAAAAATTAAAATAGAACAAAGACCTAAATGTAAGAGCTAAAAGTATACATCTATTAGAAGAAAATGTAGGTGTTAATCTTTGTGACTGGATTAGGCAGTGGTTTCTCAGATATGACACCTAAAGCACAACCGACCAAAAAAAAAAAAAGGAGTTAAATTAGACAAAATTAAAAGCTTTTGCATTATAAACAATACCATCAAGAAAGTGAATAGCTAGTCCACAGAATGGGAGAAAATATTTGCAAATGATATAACTGGTAAGGGTCTTGTATCCAGAATATATGGAGAAATCTTACAACTCAATAATAAAAATATAACCCAGTTTTAAAATGGGCAAGGCAATAAGCACATGAAACAGTGCTCAATGTCATTTGCCATCAGGAAAATGCAAATCAAAACCACAATGAAATACCATTTCACACCCACTGGGATGGCTATAATCGAAAAGACAGATAATAATAAGTGCTGACAAGAATGTAGAGAAACTGGAAACCTTATACATTGCTGGTGGGATGGGAAAATGGTGCAGCTGCTCTGGCAAACAGTTTGGTGGTTCTTCAAGAGATTAAATAAACAGAGGTACCATATGACCCAGTAATTCCACTCTTAGTTCTTTCTACCCAGGAGATATGAAAACAGATGTCCATAGAGCTGTCACCTCTCCCAGGGTGACAGAGACGCAAAGGATTACTCAAAGCCCATTTCTCCTGAGCAATGAGAGGCCCAAAGTGGTTACTCCCAGGCAAATCCTTTAAGAGATTAGGGTTCTTAGGAAATAACCCCAAATCAGGTTTTCTCTCCGTTTTTATTCAACAGACAAGAAAGATACAGAAAAGGAACATAGGTGGTTACAAAAAGAACAATGAGATAATTGTTGTACTTTCCCATCATAAAGGTTTAGATGCACCAAGGACATCTGCCCTTAGAGCAAGCATTTTTGCTGTGTTACAATTTTTTATCTACAACAGAGACTTTAGTCCTGGGAAAGTTTTCTGTTTTTCCCAAGCTTAACACTTCTATGTGCAATACCAAGAGGTTAGGCTATACCTGGAACTACAGGGCTGTGGCCCCACTAAAACTACAGGGCTTTTTTAATGTTGGTGTCCTCCACATATAGCAGTATTTGTAAAGCCAAAAAGTGGGAAAAAAACAAATGTCCATCAACTGGTAAATGCATAAAATAATGTGGTGTATATGTACAATGGAATATTATTCAGCCATAAAAAGGAATGAAATACTGTTACATGCTACAACATGGATGAACCTTGAAAATATTATGCTAAGTGAAAGAAGCTAGTCACAAAAGGCCACGTTATAAGATTACATTAATGTGAAATGTCCGGAATAGGCAAATCTAGAGACAGAAATTAGATTAGTGATTGCCTAGGGCTTCAGAAGGCAGGGTGATAGCTAAAGAATACGAGATTTCTTTTTGTAGTAATGAAAATGTTCTAAAATTGATTGTGGTGATAGTTACATCAACTCTGTGAATATGCCAAAAACCATTGAGTCATATACTTTAAATGGGTGAATTATATGGTATGTGAATTCCGCCTCAATAAAACTGTTAAAAGAAGAAAGGAAACATCTGTAAAGTGATGATGTTACATTCTACAGGAATGTTTACTCCATACTGGCAAGGATCTTTGTTTTGTTCACTTATGTATTCCCACTTGCTAGAACAGTGACTGCATATAGTGGGCATTCAATTACTGTTTATTGAATGATTTTAATGATAATAAATACACATCCTGCCTTTCAAAAAAATGAAATGGAAAGTAGAGCCTCAAAAAGTACTCTAAGCATTTGTTTGAGTAACTGGGAAGTCAGAGGAAACAGCTAGTTTGAAGGGACAAGATTGGTTTTAGGAGAATAACCTTTGGAATGGAGAGACCCAGAAGATATTGGACAATGTTAGCCTAGAGTGCAAGGGAGAGATTGGGCTGGACTTAGCAATTAGGGAGTTGTCTGCACAGAGGTGAAGGTTGAAACCACAGAAGTAATGAAATCATGTAGAATATATAGAAAAAGAAGGCTAAGAAGAGAATCTTCTTATTTCATGTATAAGAAAATGCAAAGAAGAAAATGAAATTTGTAAGGGAGAAGAAGAATTAGGAATGAGAAGTTCATTAGGAATGCTAATAATGCTAAGAGAGAAGCCAAAGAAGATAGGAACTGTTAAAAAAAAAATTGAATTTAATCAATAAGAGGTTTCAGGACAATGGTAGGAACTATTTACAAGAGGATTATGGAGTGAACAGTAATGACAGTGGAAGTACTAAACATAGACCTCTCTTTTACGAAATTTGGTGGTGAGAAGAATGTTCGGTTTTCTCTTTTCACTGGACTAGCTTAATCTCCTGGCTGTGTTTCTTTAATTCCCTTGACTTCTCATATCAACACACATCATATTTGATTATAATTGTATTGCATGTTGTTTGTCTTCTCTAGCAGTTTCTGTAAGAGTAGTAATCCTGTCATGTTCATCTCTGCATCCCAGACATGTAGCATAGTTCCTAGTGTGTAGTAGATGGCCCAATGAATATTATATTGGTTTAATGAAATGAATTGTTGAAGTATGCTGGCAAAGACATGACTAAAATGGCTGACTATGCCATCCAGACTGGATAAGGAACAAGTGAAGCCAGGAAGAACTTAATGGATTAATAGAATAGGGAAGGGGCCAAGAAATCAAAGCATTTAATATTGTGTGTTTAGTTGAAGCAAGCGATAACCCATAGTACTATATTTCTTGTCCTTTATTTTCTAATATGGGCAGAGAGGGTTTATATAGCAATAACCTGGTTTTGTTCAGGAATGAATAACCTCTTATTTAGCTGCAGATTACCTTAATTTAATAGGTGGTTAGCTATATGATAGACTTTCTCCTTTTTGCCAGCCACCTGGGTTTTATGATGGATGCACTGGTAGGGTTGATGGGGAAAGAGTACTGGTCTACTTTTCAGGAGAACTGAGTCCCAGCTCTGTCAGTAACTACCTGTTTGGAAGAGACTGTTCATTAGATGATCTTTAAGGCTTCTTCCAGGTCTCACATTCTATGATATTTTTTCTAATAATTGATTTATGACTGAGACTTCAGGAATCTAGCCACAGAACAATAGGCTGAAGGAGAAAACCACCTTCTTTCTACATACAAACATGGTTTCTAGAACTACCAGTTTTTTTGTTTTGTTTTGTTTTGTTTTTTCCTTTTTGTCTTTTTTCGTGACCGGCAACGGATCGCAAGCCTCAGTGTTGCGCCCGTACCGGACCGGGACCGGCAACGGGATCGCAACCCTCAGTGCTGCGCCCGCACCTCACTCAGCCAGTGAGCGGCTGGTCTGTATGTGGGATCCGAACCCTCGGCGGGAACGCAGCCTTGCTCCCAAGTGGCGCACTGTAGCAGTGCGCCACCGGGCCGGCCCCTAGAACTATCAGTTTTTGACTCTGATAGAAGAAGATGAAGACAGCTCACTGTATTATATTTAGCCTTACATACCAAAGATATCTGAAAATATTCCTTAGTTATATTATAAGGTTTTATTTTAGCTAATTGAGATCTGACTTTTTTCTAATCAGGACCGTAAGAGGCAATATGAGCTGCTGAAACTTGAAAGAAACTTCCAGAAACAGTCCAATGTACTCAGACGTAAAACTGAGGAGGTAAGAAAATCCAATCTGCTAGGTCAAGTGTATTGTCATCTTCAGGCAAAGTAATATCCCTTAAATGATCCAGTGTTCTGAGTAACCAGGGATCCCAGTCTTAACCAGCAGCTCCTAAATCTTGATCCCTATTTATGTCATCAATTGTGAGCAAATAAAGACCTGATGAAAATGGTACTATTCAAATAAGGATATTTTTTTTCTAATTGGGTTTGATTCTTTCCCAAAAAACACAGAATACTATTATATATGATATTTCCAGACATTTTTAATCTGCAGAACTTCGTTGAAATGTATTCCTCCCCTAAGCTCTAAAGCAGTAGCTGTTCACCAGTATTATGTCCAGAAGACTTATAAACCTGGTTCCTATAGGAACTCAAACCCATATAATTTTTATTTTTCTTTACTAATTTGTTGGATATTAGAGTGTTCTTCTTTTTACCCTTTATTCAACATTACTATGTGCCATTTTTATTTAGGCAGCAGCTGCCAACAGGCGTCTCAAGGATGCTCTCCAAAAACAACAGGAGGTCGCAGATAAGCGGAAAGAGACTCAGAACCGTGGAATGGAAGGCACTGCAGCTCGAGTGAAGGTATGAACAGCTTGAACTGCCATTTCTCTTACATATGCTGAGTATAGGAAAAAACGGGAAATCGCTTTCTTTTGGTTTAGAAGTAAACATTGCAAAACCGAAGTTCTACCTGAAAGCCTTATTTCCTAAAGATATGAGTATCTTCAAACTGTTGTTAAAGACCAGGAGTATAGAACCCTTTCTATCCTTGCCCCTATTGAGATTCAGTTAATTTTTTTTTTTTTTTCTTTTTCAAAAGATGACCGGTAAGGGGATCTCAACCCTTGGCTTGGTGTTGTCAGCACGATGCTCAGCCAGTGAGCAAACTGGCCATCCCTATATAGGATCCGAACCCGCGGCCTTGGTGTTATCAGCACCGCACTCTACCGAGTGAGCCACGGGCCGGCCCCGAGATTCAGTTACTTTTTTAACAGCTTTATTGAGGTATAACTGACATTAAATAAATTGTACTTATTTAAAGTGTGCAATTTGATGAGTTTCGACACATATATGCACCCATGAAAATCACCACCACAATCAAGATGACAATGTTCACCATTGCCAAAATTTTCTTTGTACCCATTTGTAATTCGTCCCTTCCCTCCCTGGCCTATCCCTCTACTCCCTATTCCAGGCAAGATATATTGCATATATTTTGTCAAATATTCCTGAATACTTTATATTTTTATGACATTGCAAGTGATATTTTTTATTTCCATTTCCAATCATTTGAACACACCCATTGGTTCTCATAGCTTTTTTTTAGAGTCTTAGGATTTTCTACATAGTAAATCATGTTATCCACAAATAGGGACAATTTTATTTTGATATTAATCTGCTTTCTGTCACTATAGATTTACTTTTATTTTCTAGAATTTTATAAAAATAAAATCATACAGTATGTAATTTTTTTCTGACTTTCATTCAGCACAATTATTTTGATATTCATCCATGTGGTTGCATGTATCATACTTCTTTCCTTTTTATTGCTGAGTAGCATTGTGTGGACATACTATAATTTGTTTATTCATTCACCTTATTGATGGACATTTGGGTCATTTCCAGTTTGGGAATATTATAAATATTGTACAGAACATTTACGTACAAGTATGTGTGTGGACCTATGTTTTTCATTTCTTTTGGGTAACTAGCTAGGAGAGGAATGGCATTCTCATATGGTAGGTGAATGTTTTAACTTTTAAGCAACTGCCAAGCTGTTTTCCAGAGTGATTATACCGTTTGACATTTCTACTAGCAATGTATGAGGGTTCTAATTGCTGCATATTCTCACCAGTACTTAGTATGGTCAGTCTTTTAAATTTTAGCTATTCTAGGGCCGGCCCATGGCTCACCTGGGAGTGTGGTGCTAAGAACACCAAGGTCACGGGTTTGGATCCCTACATAGGAATGGCCAGTTAGCTATCTTCAGAGAGTGTGGTGTTGACAACACCAAGTCAAGGGTTAAGATCCCCTTACTGGTCATATTTAAAAAAAAAAAAAAAAAAAATTAAGTGGGTGGCTAGTGGTACCTCATTGTGGTTTTAATTTTCATTTCCCTAATGACTAATGATGTTAAGCATCTTTTCATGTGCTTATTTGCCTCATGCATGTTGTCTTTTGTGAAGTATCTGTTCATATATTTTCCCCATTTTTTAATTGCGTTGTTTGTTTTTCTCATTATTAAGTTACAATTCTTTACATATTTTAGATATATCCAACAGAGGACTTCTCCGTTTTTCAAATATTTTCTCCCAGGCTGTGGCTGGCCTTTTCATTTTGTAGCAGTGTCCTTTGAAGAGCAAAACTTTTTCATTTTGATGCCATCCAATTTATTGATATTTTTTCTTTTAGACTCATGGTTTTTGTGTCCTATTTAAGAAATCTTTGCCAAACCTGTGTGTATTAGTCCATTTCTGTTGCTTAAAGCAAAATGCCTGGAATGTGGGTAATTTATAAAAAATGAAATTTATTGCTTACATTTTCAGAGGCTGGGAAGTCCACAGTGCAGGGAACACATCTGATCAGGGTCTTGGTGGCGACAGTGACCCAGAGGTCTCACATGGCAGAAAATGGTGGAGCAGAGAAGAAACTAACCTCTTGTGTGCTCTTCTTTTAAAGCCCTCAGAACCACGCCCCTGACCACCGTTTTTAATCCATTCACTACACCATGGTCCTACAATCTAATCACCTCTTCAAGGCCCTGACTTTCAATTACCATAATAGGATTTCCCACCCTCAGCAATTAGAGTTGGGGATTAAGGCTCAGTGAGGTTGGGGGGGCATCCAATCTACAGCACCATGGTCACTAAGATTTCCTCATAAGTTTTCTTCTAGAAGTTGTATGTTTTTAAGCTTTACATTTAGGTCTATGATTCATTTTGATTTGACACCTTTATCAGAATCAAATGTACATATGTCTGTTTCTAGATTCTGTTCCATTGATCTACATGTCTATTTTTTATGTCAATACCAAAATGTCTTGAATACAGTCACTTTATAATAAGTCCTGAAATCGGGTAGTGTTAAGTCCTCCAAAGTTGTTATTCTTCTTCAAAACTGTTTTGGGAAAACTAGGTCCTTTGCATTTCCATGCAGATTTTAGAATTAGCTTGTCAATATCTACAAAAAAGCCTATTGGAAGTTTGATTAGGATTGCGTAGAATTTATAGATAAATTTGAGAGTTAACATCTTAAGAATATTGAGTCTTGATCCATGAATGTGATACATCTCTCCATTTATTTAGATTTTTTATTTCTCAGCAATGTTCTCGTTTTCAGTGTACAAATATTGCATATATTTTGTCAAATATTCCTGAATACTTTATATTTTTATGACATTGCAAGTGATATTTTTTATTTCCATTTCCAATCATTTGAACACACCCATTGGTTCTCATAGCTTTTTTTTAGAGTCTTAGGATTTTCTACATAGTAAATCATGTTATCCACAAATAGGGACAATTTTATTTTTTCTTTTCTGCTCTGTGTGCCTTTTTTTAGACTTTGTCTTGCCTTATTGCACTTGCTAGAACCTCTGGTAAAATACTGAATAGAATAGATGAGAGAGGACATCAAGGACATCATTGCTTTGTTCACAGTCTTGCGGAGAAAGCATTCAGTCTCTCACCATTAAGTATGATATTAGTGATAGGTTTTTCATATATATCCTTTATCAGGTTGAATAAGTTCCTATCCCTAGTTTGCTAAAGCTTTTATCATGAATTGATGTTGCATTCTTTCAGGAGTTTTTTCTGTTTCTATTGATATGATCTTATGATTTGTTTGTTTATAGTCTGTTGTATGGCAAATGACACTGATTTTTCCCCAATTTATTTTATTAGGGTATAACTGACATACGGTAAAATTTACCCTTATTATTGTACAGTTGTGTAACCACCAACAACCATAATCAAGATATAGAATAGTTCTCTTATCCCCCAAAATTCCTCTATACCCCTTTATAGTCAACTTTTCCCACACCCCTGGTCCTTGGCAAATACTGATCTGTTTTCTGTCATTATTGTTTTCCCTTTGCATCATTGTTAAATAAATAGAAAAATATAGAATGGCTGCTTTCACCTAGCAGAACGCATTTGAGATTCATCTATGTTGTGTGTATCAGTAGTTTGTGACTGTTTTTTTATTGTTGTTGTTGTTGTTTTTTTTTCTGCTGAGTAGTATTCCATTGTATGGATATGCCACAGTGTGTTTATCCATTCACCTGTTGAAAGATGTCTTGGGGTTTTTTTCCTCAGTTTTTGGCAATTGTAAATAAAGCTAATATAAAAAAATTCACATACAGTTTTCTATGTAAACATAGGTAATCATTTGACTTGTAAAATCTATAGTGATGTCATCTTTCTCATTTCTGTTACTGATATTTTGTTTGTTTTCTCCTTTTTCCTGGTCAGTCTGGCTAGAGGTTTATCAAGGAATCAACTTATTCTTACAAATGGTTAAACTGATAAATTTTGTTATGTATATTTTACCATAATAAAAAATTCAAAAAACACAGCTCATTAATTTCCACTCTGATCTTTATTATTTCCTTACTTTTGCTTACTTTGGATTTAATTTGCTTCTATTTTTTTAGTTTCTTAAGGAAGAAGCTGAGATCATTGATTTGAGTTCTTTCTTTTCTAATGTAGCTGTTTAGTGCTATAAGTTTCCCCTCAAGCACTCCTTTAATAACATCCCACAAATTTTGATAATGTTATGTTTTCCTTTTTTATTCCTTTTTTATTCAATTCAAAATACATCCTAATTTTGTTGTTGATTCCCTCTTTGCCCCATAGGTTGTTTTGTTTCTTGGCAGCTGGCTGGTACAGGGATCCGAACCCTTGACCTTGGTGTTACAACACCTCACTCTAACCAACCAAGCTAACCAGCCTCCCCTGACCCATGGGTTATTTAGAAGTGTTGTTTAGTTTTCAAATATTTGGGGATTTTTCCAAATATCTTTTTGTTATTGATTTATAATTTAATCCCATCATGGACAGAGAACATATTTTGTATGACTTGAATCCTTTTGAACTTAATGAGATTTATTTTATGGCCCAAAATATGGTCAATCTTGTTAAAAATTCTTTGTGTACTTGAGAAGATGCGTATTCTGCTGTTACTGGATAGAGTGGTCTGTAAATGTCAATCATGTCAGTTTCATTGATTGTGCTGTTTACTTCTACTATATCCTTACTGACTTTCTGCCTACTTGTCCTATCAATTAATGAAAGATGGGTATTGAAATCTCCAACTGTAATGATGGATTTGACTATTTCTCATTGAAGTTCTATCTGGTTTTGCTTTATGTATATTGAAGCTCTGTTATTAGGGGCATAAACATTTAGGATTAATCAATGCCTAATAAATTATAAGATGACCTTATCCCTGGTAATATTCTTTGTTCTAAAATCTACTTTTTCTGGGCCTGCCCGGTGGCGCACTGGATAGTGAGCCGCTTGGGAAGCGCGGCGGCGCTCCCGCCCGAGGGTTCAGATCCCACATACAGACCGGTTCCCGCTCACTGGCTGAGCGAGGTGCGGGGGCAGCGCCGAGGGTTGCGATCCCGTTGCCGGTCCCAGTCCGGCACGGGGGCGACACTGAGGGTTGCGATCCATTGCCGGACACAGAAAAAGACAAAAATTAAAAAAAAAATTTTAAAAAAAATCTACTTTTTCTGATATTAATATAGCCCCTCCCCTCCAGCTTTCTCCTCAATTAGTGTTAGTGTGGTTTGTGTTTTGTTTTTGTTTTTGTTTTTTGATGCTTTTAATTTTAACTTATTTGTGCCTTCATTTTTAAAGTATGGTTCTTATAAGCAGCATATTGTTGGGTCTAGCTTTCTTAATTCAATCTGAAAAACTCAGCATTTTAATTCAGGTGTTTAGACCATTTACATTTAATGTGATTATTAATATGGGTAGGCTTGAGCTTATCATCTTGCTACTTGTTTTCTTCTGTTTTTCATTCTTTTTCCTTATTTTATGGCTTCTTTTGGATTAACTGAACATTTTTATGATTCCATGTTATCTTTTTGTTGACTTATATATGTTTTAGTTTTATGTATCTTGCTGCTTTATTATTAGGGACATAAACATTAAGGATTATGTTCTCTTGAACAGTTGATTCCTTTACCATGATGAAATGATCCTTTTTAACCCTAATAGTATTCTTTGATAGGAATTTTACCTTTCTGATATTGATATAGCCAGTCCAGCTTTCTTTTGATTACTGTTAGCATAGTATATCTTCATCAAAAGCAGAATTGTACTCAGGGGTAGTTATTATTTTAAAAAGTGAATTTAGGGCTAGCCTGTGGTTCACTTGGGAAAATGTGGTGCTGATAACACCAAGGTCATGTGTTTGGATCCCTATATAGGGATGGCTGGTTAGCTCACTTGGGAGAGCGTGGTGCTGACAACACCAAATCAAGGGTTAAGATCCCCTTACCGGTCATCTTTTAAAAAAAAAAAAAAGTGAATTTAGTGAATTTTGTTTTCTTTTTAAAAATCCTATTCATCTACTTAAAAAATTAAGAATGGATATCGGTTTGTTAAATAGAATAGATAACAAAATTATTCTTTATATTCCATATCATGACTAGGTAAGGGCAAGGAACAAATGTTAAGGTGAAAATAAAGACAGAGCACATAGAAATGCTGAGATATCTTGAGAAACATTTTCTGGAGAAATCCTCTTTCTTATGACCATTTTGGCTATTACTGTTAAAGGCTCTTAGAGAGGTACTGGCATTTTTGGTGAGTGTGGGTACAAATGGAAATCTCAATTCTAGTTACTTGGGCTCTGGTTCTAATGAATTAAGTCTGGAGCAGAATCTAGCCCATCGACCAGTGATTATTCATCCCTAACCCAGACATCACTGATTTGTCTTCTAGAATTGGCTTGCAAATGAAATTGAGGTTATGGTCAGTACTGAGGAAGCCAAACGCCATCTGAATGACCTTCTTGAAGACAGAAAGATCCTAGCTCAGGATGTGGCTCAACTCAAAGAAAAAAAGGAATCTGGGGAGAATGCACCTCCTAAACTCCGGGTAAATGCCCTTAGGAAAAAAATGTTACCAACAATCAGACTCTGCCTTCCCTAGAAGTCCTCATTGCTTTGGAGGATTACTTTCCTTTTAGTACATCACCCTTGTTCCCTCTATTCTTCTTTACAGAGGCGCACATTCTCACTTGCTGAAGTGCGTGGTCAAGTTTCGGAGTCAGAGGATTCTATTACAAAGCAGATTGAAAGCCTAGAGACTGAAATGGAACTCAGGTAACAGGACTATCTCTAAGACATTATAAAATTTATGCATGGAATCAATAATAGAACCTTTCAATCCAGTGATTTAAAAGCTTATTTTTCAAAAGCTTTGTGATAGTGGAAAAATAAGAGAAAGTAACAATTTTTTGAACCACAGGCTGCACTAGACACGTTAGGTACATTTTCTCATTCAATCCCTCTGATACCCCATGAAGTAAGTATCATTCTTCTCACTTTACTAAAATGAAGTTCAGAGATCTTAAGAAATTTTCCAAAGGTGTTAACTAGCTAACAAACAACAGAGCTGGGATTTGAAACCCACTCTAACTCCGAAGCCCATGCTTTTTACAGTACACCACAATTTTTTTTTTTATTCCTTTTTGTCTTTTTTACTGACCGGTAACAGGATCGCAACCCTTGGTGTCGCGCCCGTACCGGGGACCGGCAACAGGATCGCAACCCTCGGTGTTGCGTCCGCACCGCGCTCAGCCAGTGAGCGGGAACCGGTCTCCACATGGGATCCGAACTCTCCAGTGCGCCACCCGGCCAGCCCACACCACAATTTTTGATGCAGATGTATCTCTGTAATATTGAGCAACTTAAGAACAGAATTTTAGAGGAACCGAAGAAATAATAGAAGAGCAACAACATAGAAAGAGATCATCAGCAAAATAGATTTAATATACAAGTAAAGTTATCATGAGCATTAAATGAGTTTAAAGTGAAGTGCATAACACAGTACTTGGCATATTAGAAGTTCTCATTGAATGTTCTTCTCCATCTCCTCCTGGCTCTCAGGACAGAAATGCTACACAGCCTCTCTAATCACTATTATTGTCTTTTAAGCAGTTTATGAAATCTAGAAGAAATAGTATTTTGACAGATAGTGTCTTCGGATAATAGAATTTTATTGCCCAAAAGACCTTAGAGATCATTTAATTTGGTTTTATTGATACATATTAGCTATTTATCTTTGTATACATCTATAAGTCACTCAACATTTGAGTTTCTGCTTTGTGCTACACTGGATGCAACTGAGAAATACAGAAAGAATAGATAGAATTATCCTTACTCTCAAGTAGAAATAGTATAATTACTCATAATGGTGTCCTAGAGTCATTTGTTAAAATTTCCAGAATGTTGTAAGTCATTGAAAGCCTATAATTAATTATAGTGAAAGTATTTACACCACAGAAACTGGCAAAATCTACAAATCAGGGCTGGTTTTTTAAGTGCTGTTTGTTAAACATTTAACTGCATACCACTTGTGTAAGTAAATGATTATGTAAATGTAGGGTAGATGCCAAGTAGAAGGAATTAGACAGGGTTGAGTTTAATTAGGAGAATTTTCCTAAAGTTAAGGAGACTTAAACTAAATTTTGAAATAGATAAGGGATGTGAATTGTCAGAGAAAACAGAAAAGGGCCAATGATAGATGACAACTCTGAAGTGTTCTGCCCCACCTCTTCCAAAAGATTTCCCTGACTCCTCATCCCTCACAAATCTTCCTGTTCTCTAAACTTTTAGAATTTATAGTACTCAATTATGTGGTACAGATGATATAAGTTATCTTTATTTTTATTAATTATTTTATATTTATTAGTTTTGTCAATCTAAAGACAGATTGTAAGCTTGTTAATGGAAAGGACTATTATATTAGACCATGGTTCTCTAAGTGTGTTCTGCAGACCCCTAGGGGTTTCTAAAACCCTTTCAGGGGGTCCAAGTGGTCAAAACTATTTTTATAATAATTTTAAGACATTATTTGCATTTTATTACTATGGTAACATTTGCACTGATGGTGCAAAAGTAATAATGGACAAAACTGCTGACACCGTAGGCTGAATGAAAGCAATAGCACCAGCCTTAACTAGTAGTCATTGTATACTTCACCATTACACACACAGTCTTAAAAAAAAACAAAACAAAACCAGTCTTACTAGTGGCTTTGATAAAGCAGTAAAAATTGTTAATTTTATTAAATGTCAACCCTAGAGTTCATGTCTTTTTAATATCCTTTGTGACAGAGCAGGAAGAACCCACAAAGCATTTCTGCTGCATGTTGAATATGATGGTCATCTCAAGAAAAGCACTGTGCAATTGTTTGAGGTGTAAACTCAACAGGCGTCTTCTTTCATGGAGCATCATTTTTACTTGAAAGAATGACTGACAAACTGTGGTTATTCAGACTCAGTTACTTGGCAGATATTTTCTCAAAAATGAATAGAGTGAACCTGTCATTTTAAGGAAAACAGCTGGCAGTATTTGTTACCAAAATAAAACTTGAGATTTCAAGCAAAACTTAGAATTTTGGAAAACTTGTTTCTGCTACCATGAGCTTGACAGTTTGTCATAACTTTTCTGATAAAACCAGTAGTGATATTAACAAATGTGATTTTTTTGTGTGTATTGTATAGGGAACTGTGTTAACATTTGAAGGATCTGCATGTCTCAGTGGACTAATGTCCAAATGTCATGTTACAAGATAGAACAATGGATTTTAATATAAGAGAGTGGGAAGAGTTTATTATAATAGTTTCAGATTCTACATTGCAGCTAACGTTTAAGGAACTACTACTTCTTGAGTTTTAATGTAGTTTCAAAGAAGAATATCCACAATTATCTGAAAAGGCTATTAAAATATTCCTCCCTTTTCTAACCTGCATATCCATGTAAGGCTAGATTGTCTTCATTTACATCAGAACAATATGTCACAAAAGATTGAATGCAGAGGGAGATTTGGGAATCCAGCTATCTTCAACTAAGCCAGACATTAAAGACATTTGTAAAAATGTAAGATAATCTCACTCTTTTCACTAAATTATTTTTTGCCTTGGAAAATGTTATTTTTCATAAAATATGTTATGTTAATGTATAATGGGTTTGTTGTTATTTTTAAGTGAATTAATATTTAATTTTTTTCTCAGTTTTACTTTCTAATACTACAAATATCTATAGGTATAACATATGTGAACAGAATTTCTTAAAGGTCCTCATAATTTTTAAGAGTATAAAAGGGTCCTGAGACCCCCCAAAATGAGAACAGCTATCTTAGATTACTTTTGTACCCATCTTCCTTATAGTACCTAACAGAGCACTACATGTTAAGTACATGCTGGTATGCTGCCTCTCACTAGACATGGGATAAATTTGAGAAGGAAGCTATTAAATGAAACTGAAATATTGTGTAGACTTTAGACTAGGCCATGATCAGAAAGTATTTGGAAGCTATAACCAGGGGCAGGGTATCTAGTTTTCTTAGAAACTTCTTAGTCCTATGGCAGGCACTTCAAGATAACCACTCACACCACCAGACACAGGTGTCAATTTGGTATTTGATTCTAGCAAATAGCATATACCTGTTTGTTCTTTTGAGATTTTTTTCTTCAGAAAAATCTTATCCCACGGGCCGGCCCGGTGGCGCACTGGATAGTGCGCCGCTTGGGAAGCGCAGCAGCGCTCCCGTCCGAGGGTTCGGATCCCACATACAGACCGGCTCCCGCTCACTGGCTGAGCGAGGCGCGGGAGCAACACCGAGGCTTGCAATCCCGTTGCCGGTCCCCGGTCCGGTACGGGGGCAACACTGAGGGTTGCGATCCGTTGCCGGACACGGAAAAAAGACAAAAGACAAAAAAAACAAAAAAAAAAAAAAAGAAAAATCTTATCCTTGCATGGATGGGCCACCATACCACAGTCCAAGCTTATATAGCCTCAAGGCGAGGTCACATTGCTGTCAATTCACTACAACAAAAGCCTTACTATAATAAACCTTCCCAAGTCCCACTATATGACCCATTTATTTCAACCAGTATTTAATAAAATAAAGCCATTTGGATAGTCTCTTGGAGTTCCTTTGTAACAGGATTTGAGATACTATATAAAATCCTAGCTAGATGACTCAATCATTATATAAATGATATTTAACTGATAGCTCCATTCACAAAATTATTTGAAGTTTTCCTCAGAGCTTGTCCCCTTCTCCTTGGTGTTGAGGCTACTTGCAATAAGGCTTACTGTTTCTTTCCCTGAAGGAGTGCTCAGATTGCTGACCTACAGCAGAAGCTACTGGATGCAGAAAGTGAAGACAGGCCAAAACAACGCTGGGAGAATATTGCTACCATTCTGGAAGCCAAGTGTGCTCTGAAATATTTAATTGGAGAGGTAAATATCACTCTTCCTACCAGCAATTTGAGGTCTGGCTGGGTAGATTGAAATAAAATGTTAGCCTTGGAATACTGTTGTAGTGTTATTGCCACTTTTCGTGGTAGAAACCTCAATGACACCAACATTAGAGAGAGTTTAGTGAGTAAAGGTTGGTATAAGCAACAAGTACAGGCCAGTCATTTACAAAAATATGACTCACAAATTGATGCTTGTCATCCCTGGCATGTAGCAAGTGCTCAATAAGTGTTAGCTGTAATTATAAAAATTAATTAGAATTTTAATTAATTGTAATTAGAAAAAGACCAGGATGCTATAATGGGCCACTGGTTAAACATAAACTATTATATTGTACTACTTTTTAAAACACCTATGAGATGTATATTCAAAAAGTTTAAGATACAGTCTAGAAAAAAGAAAACCTAAGCATCTCTTGACTTATGAAGATTCATTTTAAGGAAAAGCCATCTTCACTGGCCTTAAAATAATACATCATTTCACATTGTCACAAGACGAATGAAAGTTGATCACTTCTGGTGATTGAGGCATTTTTACTCAAGACAAGCATACAAACTCCAAATCCACAAGTTTGAGCAATGCTACCCTTTATACATTTTTGTTTTGTGTTAGTGGATTTGTTCAGGAAATCCTGATTAGTCTTGTGGACACTAGTATTTACCATATGGGCAAGTAGTGAATGTCAAACTAGGCCAGCATGGGATATCAGTGTAGCCTGAAGAGCCAGATCTACAGTCTCAGCTAACATGTCTACGAGTTCTGACATGTGAACACAGACATTCTGAAATGGGACATAATTGGTCATGAGGGTGTGTTCTGTGGATTTCTCTTTAAAATTAAAGAAGAACTTCTTAAGTATCAGAATTTGGAGTTGTCAGATACTGTTTGTGTTAGGTTTATTCTTCTCTTGAGGCAGAGCAAGAGATAAAATGACCTTAGCTGTGGTTTCTAGCCCTAAGATACATGTCTCAGCAGAAATATGAACTCTTGGCCTGGGAATAGAACAGTAGTACTATTACTATTCAATGTTAGAATCCGTATGACATGAAAAAATAAGAATGGATTTGAACATGGAGAAACTTTTCTCAGACCTTTTCAAGAAAGCTGACATTTTCCTGCCTAATGAATGGGGGAAAGGTGGTCATTCTCCAAATACACTGATCTTCTTTTCTCCCCTCCAGCTGGTCTCCTCCAAAATACAGGTCAGCAAGCTTGAAAGCAGCCTGAAACAGAGCAAGGCCAGCTGTGCTGACATGCAGAAGTTGCTTTTTGAGGAAAGAAATCATTTTGCTGAGATAGAGACGGAGTTGCAAGCTGAACTGGTCAGAGTGGAGCAACAGCACCAAGAGAAGGTAAACTCTGGCAAGCCAAGAAGCTATACTGAGAAACAAACTGTCATTGCTTTTTGTCGTTAGTTAAAACACATAGTGGGGGGCTGGCCCGGTGGCACACTGCTACAGTGCGCCGCTTGGGAAGCGTGGCGGCGCTCCCGCCGAGGGTTCGGATCCCGCATACAGACCGGCCGCTCACTGGCTGAGCGAGGAGCGGGGGCAACACCGAGGGTTGCGATCCCGTAGCTGGTCCCGGTCCGGTAGGGGCGCGACACTGAGGGTCGCGATCCGTTGCCGGTCACGAAAAAAAAAAGACAAAAAAAAAAAAAAACACATAGTGGGGATTATGAAGTTTCCTTCAAACGGCCTGTGGTCTTTTCCAAATTTTCTAAATAAGAAACCTGAAACAGAGAGAAGTGACTTAAGTTATACATACCAGAGACAATGGCTCTTAGGCTCTGACTTGAATACCAAGATTAACATGTTGAGAAATATCATTGCTGTGTTTACTCCTTCAAGCCAAGAGAGCAAAAGTGAAGTTTACTTCTAAATCACAAAGGAGTCACCTGGATCACTGCTGAACTAAGTCGAAATTCCTTTTCCCCCTTGTTCCTTTGATACCACCTACTGGATTGTATCTTTCTCTAGGTACTGTACCTTCTCAGCCAGCTGCAGCAAAGCCAAATGGCAGAGAAGCAGCTAGAGGAGTCAGTCAGTGAAAAGGAAAAGCAGCTGCTGAACACACTAAAATGTCAGGTATGATAATGAGGGAAAGGTCTCCAGGAGAGAGGTTTCTCAGGCCTGAATGAGAATCCTGTCTCATTTAGACCATTGTACTTGCAACAGAGAATAATTAACTTCTGAAGAAAGGTTTATAATTGTAGCTTCTACCACCTTTTGGTGCTATTTGATCAATTTAGGGGTACTCAGAGTGTAGCCACATATAGAATAACCTCATTTTTGGTACCAAAATGGCAGTACTTATTCCATACCAGACTTCACGGCCTCCTGGTTCTTTGCCTCAACCCTGAGCTCTAAAGAGTTGAGGAAGTGAAATCACCCAGTATTTACTTAGAATTCTTGGGTGCAGTCAACTATATCTTCCCTGAGCTTGTTCTTCTGAGCTGAGATCTGATATGTTTGTAAAATGCCTGGAGTCTGAATTTCTTCTAGCGGCTGGGAACACCACACCCTTTAGTAGCATGTTGGAGCACTGTTTTAGTCCAACCGTCTCTAGGGTTTCCTTGGCACCTCCTATCTAAGACATAACCAAACTAGTTAAAAGGTTGTATGTGTGAATCCGGTTAAGTGCCAGGAAGTTTAAACAGACTTATTGCAGTAGCAAATAAACTGACTAGTCTATGTTGAGAAGGGTGAATAGAAGCATCTGTAGACTTTAAGGAAACAGAACTAACTCTTTCTGGGGTTTTTAATCAGCATCCTGCTATAAATAGGGGATACGAGGCTAGAGAATGAAAAAGAATAAGGAAAGCTTATAGGGCAGAGCCCATGGTTCCTATGAGTATGGTCAGGACTGCTGGGAAGCATTGGAATAGAAGTTGCATTCAGAGCACCTAGGAACCAGGAATCAGACACTTTTCTGGGTGCCAGTGCCTGCTGTGCAAAAACCATCTGCTGCCAGCAACTTGGCAGCAGTACTTTTTCATCTATGTGAGTTGTTTGGTAACCCACGTGAAGTGCCCAAAATAACGCCACCTATCACTCCACTATCTGGAAATAGGATGAAGAACTTGAAAAGATGCAAGAAGTGTGTGAGCAAAATCAGCAGCTTCTCCGAGAGAATGAAATCATCAAGCAGGTAATACAGTTTCCCACCCACGTGATAAGCCCTGGGAGATCCTTTTGCTGCTGAGCTAGCTCTTGGGAGCAACCCTCAGTATGTGACTTGGCTCTATTTATAAAGTCTACATTGAGTTTCCATGTGATATAGTCATGTGCATTTCAAAGTGATATAAACACAAGTTTTTTAATTTGCCCTTTTCTGAATCTAATATTGATCTTAGAAAGTAGGAGTCCTGGGCCGCCCGGTGGCGCACTGCTACAGTGCGCCGCTTGGGAGTGCGGAGGCGCTCCCACCGAGGGTTCGGATCCCACATACAGACCGGTTCCCGCTCACTGGCTGAGCGAGGTGCAGGTGCGACACTGAGGGTTGCGATCCCTTGGCCGGTCCCAGCCCGGTACGGGCGCGACACTGAGGGTTGCGATCCGTTGCCGGACACAAAAAAAGACAAAAAGGAAAAAAAAAAAAAAAGAAAGAAAGTAGGAGTCCTTCAACCTACTCAGCTATAACCCTGCCTCACTTTACTATGGTTTAAAATTGAGCTTGCCTACTAGGTCTGGAATCTTTGTGTTTTAGCCATGAGCACTCCCAGAAGCTACATTTTACACTTTGTTTCTTCTTTTCAAACAGAAACTGACCCTCCTCCAAGTAGCCAGCAGACCGAAACCTCATCTTCCTAAGGATACCCTTTTGTCTCCAGACTCTTCTTTTGAATATATCCCACCTAAGGTAAAATACTCAGTGCCTGTGATACTCTTGCATAGCCTCGGTTTGAGATGAGTGTGCTAAACTTGCCTGTTGTAAGAGGTTGAGAGTTAAAATTCCCAAATTCTAGCATCTCAATTTTCCTTGGAGTCCCAGACAAAAGTACAGTATAATCCTAAGGAAAATAGTCACTCTTCCTCCTCAAAAGTCTGACTTTTGGCCATGCACAGGCATTATGTAATACAACTGAGGAGGAGACGGAGGTGAAAAGAGCAATATTCAGCTGTCCATCCAAAGACACTTATCTCATCACATCATTAGTCCCCCTTACTCCCTCAGATTGCTCAGCCTCCAGTTTCGATCCATCAAAGACTTTGCAAGGCCAAAGGCTAAAGCAGAATTTCTTCTGATTGGTAAAGCCAAGTGGGGTATATTTGAGGGAGTCTGAAATCTGCTCTGAGAATATAGCTGGCAACAGCAAATAGGAAGATATGATGCCATATGTATTTTTAAATTTTTTATTAAATAACTATTCCAATCCTTTTTTCTTAGCCAAAACCTTCCCGTGTTAAAGAAAAGTTTCTGGAGCAAAGCATGGACATCGAGGATCTAAAATATTATTCAGAGCATTCTGTGAATGAACATGAGGATGGTGATGGTGACGGTGACGATGGGGATGATGAGGAATGGAAGCCAACAAAATTAGTTAAGGTGTCCAGGAAGAACATCCAAGGGGTAGGAGCCACCTGTTCAACTCTGTCAGGGGTCCCAATCACTAGTATTCACTGCCAGCAGGATAGTTTTCTGAATCTAGGAATGTGCTGGCCCCATACCCTGCATCTGAGCCCTTTGGATCCCGTTCAGAGGCACTGACTCCACTAAGAGGGGGCTTGTTGAGCCAGGTCTGTGTAGTACCTGGGGCTAGTGTTGAAGGCTGCCTGCATACACAAGTTGGCTCTCTTCATGTTTTCAGGATCTTACCAGCCTGAATAAGTAGTACCATTTCATTGAAGCTGATTCCAAAGTGATCATAACAATCTTATTTTCATAGGACTTTACAGTTTATAAACCATTCTCATATGTTCTCTCTTTTAATCATCACAAAAAATCCAGTGAGGTATTTATTATTTGCATTTTGCAGATAGACCTCAGACCCACAGGAGGGAAATGGCGTTGCCCAAGGTCGTAAAACCAAGTGCCAGGACTTGAAACCAAATGTGGTCATGTGCCGCTTAACACAGGGATGTTTTGAGAAATGCATCGTTAGGCAAATTCATCACTGTGCGAACATCATAGACTGCACTTACACAAACCTAGATATAGTACACACCTGGCCTATATGGTATAGCCTTTTGTTCATCGTATATATGGTCCGTCGTCAACTGAAACGTTGTTAGGCAGCGCATGACTATATTCTAACTCCAAGTCCAGTTTGTTTCCACCACATCATGGTTATGTTGGTAAAAGCTGCAGACCAGAATCTGAGTGGGTACTTTATCTTCCTTGTTTAATAGAGTGGTTTTGTTCACTGGGCTAAAGGGGCAAAGAGAATTACAGAGAAAGTTAGTAATTAAGATCAAACATGCCAAATTCAGGCTAGTTAGGAACAGTCTGACTTTGAGGCATGCTCTTTACTTACACAATGATAATCCTACATAATTATCAAGCCTAGATGTTTTATGTTGAAATATTAACTTCCCAGGCACTACAGTTCACCACTACTAGTACCCTGCAGCCACATTCTACCTAAAGAGAATAGTTCACAAATTACCTCAGCTGGCTTCCTAGAAGGTTACTTGATTTGATTAGCTGATAGCTCACCACATGGGGAACTGAGCCTTATAAAGCCACAACACCAGAGAGAAGCAAGTCGTAAGGAATAGATAGCCATGGTGGTAAGTCATTTGGGTAGTCGGAGTCATCAGGAATATAACATATCATGGGCCCATAATGGGACTACGAGCTCATCCTTAGCCTCAGAGAGCTTATAATCAAATGGGAAAACAAGGCAAAAAAATAGAAGTATACCATAGAGCCTCAGCATATTCATCTCAAGGAAATGGACTGAGGGGTTTTTAAGAGTGACTATAAAGACAAACCAAGGAAGTATAGTTTAGGAGATGCAATGAAAGAGGTGACTATTTCTGCATTATAAGATGAAAAGGAAACTACAGTCTTGGAAGCAACTGAGAATATTTCTGGCACAACGAATAATGTATTGCAAAGACTTGAAGGTGATAGAGGAACAGAGGGTTGTGATACTTAGAATGGGGCAGAATATGTCTGTCTTTCATTCGTTTACTCCACAAACATTTATAGATACTCTTATTATGGTTGCAGTGGGGAGCATGATCTGAATAGATTAAAAGGTCAGCTAAGTGATAGGAGGCGGAGTTGAGAAGTACACAGAGAAACATATAGTAGAGGGCCTAAAACCTCTGGAAAGGAGTTTCCAAATGCGAAGCAAATATACGTATACTTGTCCTCAAGCAAAGCTTAATATACTTGTATTTATTATAGCATTGTTGCTGTAAGCTTACAAGGGAAACATAGAAGTGTAGGAAATATCACAAGTAAATACAACGGTGCTTCAGAGTTTATGGCAGGCTAGCCATTTAGCTCATTTGGTAGAGCATGGTGCTGATAACATCAAGGTCAAGGGTTTAGAGATCCCCTTACCAGGACTATTGAGTCCATAACAAAGGAGGTGTTTGTCACAGTCTACTTCACAATGGTCATACCACATTTAGAAAGTTGTGCTCATTTCTGGATCTTACAATTAAATATGAACTTTGACAAATTGGTGTATAGTCAAGGTGGTGAGGATACTTGGAAACCATGTTGTGGTGATCATTGAGGGAGCTAGATATATTTAGCTTTGAGAGGATTTGGACAGAGGGGATCTGGGGAGTAAAAATTGTGCTCAGGGCTATGAAAAAATGTTATCATGGTTAAACTGATTCCATGTCATTCCAGATAGCAGAATTAGATTCTGTGGTTAAAAGTTATCTAGAGGGGGGCCGGCCCCGTGGCGCACTGGATAGTGCGCCGCTTGGGAAGCGCGGCGGCGCATGCCGCGAGGGTTCGGATCCCACATACAGACCGGTTCCCGCTCACTGGCTGAGCGCGGTGCGGGCACAACACTGAGGGTTGCGATCCGTTGCCGGACACGGAAAAAAAGACAAAAAAAAAAAAAAAAAGTTATCTAGAGGGTTGGCCCGGTGGTGCACTGCTACAGTGTGCCGCTTGGGAGCGCGGCGGCCCTCCCGCCGAGGGTTCAGATCCCATGTGGAGACCGGTTCCCGCTCACTGGCTGAGCGCGGTGCGGGCACAACACTGAGGGTTGCGATCCCATTGCTGGTCCCCGGTACGGGCACGACACCAAGGGTTGCAATCCCGTTACCGGTCAGTAAAAAAAAGACAAAAAGGAAAAAAAAAAGAAATCTAGAAACTATTATCATCTCAGAATAAATAGAGTTTTGGATAACTAAACCAGGGATGTTAGAGAGGGGCTTCATACATCAAACCAGGCTTTAGATGATCACTGAGATCTCTTCTGACTCTAATCCTTCATCCTGTGAGCTCTGCCACCTAGATCTTCCTGGATCCTCAACTCCTAACTTCTTTAGTTACCATTTCTTTGGATTTACTACTAAAGTTCATTGCCATTAGGTGGTTCTTCCCAGTTTCTAATGTTAAATTAATTTGCTGGCTTGTCTTTGCCACTTAGGGACTTAGCTCTGTTCCTGAATCTTGGTCTACTATTTCTCTTATAGCATTTCTTCCTATAATTCTAGTCATCCACCTTGTTTTTGTTTAATGTTCTCTTCATTATACACATGTATACAGTGAACTCCTGAACGTGTGCACAAGGAAACATGCTTATTGATTAAATGGGCTTAATACATGGAAAGCCCTTATAATAGTGCCTGGAACATTAATGTTAGCTATGACTATTGCCGCCTTAGTTATGAGTGAAAAATGGCACTATCAGGAGAATGTGTAAATTGTGGCATGATTATATAGTGTAAATTAATGGAACTGGAACTACAGGCATCAACATATAATAAGATGCCATTTACATAAAGTTTAAAAACATATAATTCCCTTTTAATTGGTTATGAATATTCATGAGCTACAAAGCTGATTGTCACCCCTCATGCCCAAGATGTGAAGTCCAGATTCATGAATTCCTTATTTTTTTAAAATAAAAACTCATATGTGGTAAAAGACATGCATAGGAATGATAAACACCTAATTCAGAAGACTGTTTACCTCTGGGAGGGAAGGAGGCGAGTGGGATTAGGAAATGGTACACAGTTATATCTGCATTTTATTTATTAATGGGGGTGAGGACATGAGTGAGGTTTTTTATTATTGCCTATGCTTTTATATGCATGAGAAAAAAATTTTGGTGCCCTAAAAATAGGATGCATTATTTCAAATGGGGTCCAACTGACCCAGAGTGCAGTGAAATAATTGCTCCCCATGTTTTCTTTTTTTTTTTTCTTTTTTTCTTTTTTTTTTTCCTTTTTGTCTTTTTTCGTGTCCGGCAACGGATCGCAACCCTCAGTGTCACGCCCGTACCGGGCTGGGACCGGCCAAGGGATCGCAACCCTCAGTGTCGCACCTGCACCTCGCTCAGCCAGTGAGCGGGAACCGGTCTGTATGTGGGATCCGAACCCTCGGTGGGAGCGCCGCCACGCTCCCAAGCGGCGCACTGTAGCAGTGCGCCACCGGGCCGGCCCATGCTCCCCATGTTTTCTGAACTCCAAATTTCAGCCTGCTTTTTGATAGCCATTTCACTCTGTTGACTCATGAAGCTTGCTGACACCTCAAATACCTAGGCCCTTTTTGCACAAACTTTTAAGCTATATCTCCCTCCATATTGTAATTATGTGGCTGATTTGGGGGGAACCTAAATACCAAACTTATATTTATTTCTGTTGTATCTTTTCTTTCTACTTTAAGCCCATAATTCCAGCCTGTCAAAATATTTTTGAATTGAGATTTTATTTTACATATTAATCATCCTTCTAGCTTTGTGTCATTGTTAGAACTGATAAATATGCCTACCTTGTAGACTGGTTATGACATTTTGTATTTTTATATATGAAAGCACTCTGAAAACTGTAAAGTGCTATCAAATGTAAATTATTTTATCTCATATCATTAGTGAATTATTAAAATGCTGAATGAGGGCTGGACAGTAAGTTCAGTTGGTTAGAGCATGGTGCTAATAAAATGTTGAATGATTAAAGTGTTGAGGACAAAGCCCAGGCTAACACTAGACAAAATGTAGAAATGTGAGTTGGATGAAAGTAAATTAGGTAGATCTAAAGATACTGAGTAACTATACTCAGTCCTTAAATATACTTAACTATGCTACCAGCCAGCTCGCAGTTCTTCATTTTGCCCATAGAATTGCCATAACAGTCTTCGTCAGTTGCCTTGCATTATTATGGTGTCCCTTTGATCTGCCCTTCAAATATACTATCCAAAAAAGAAAATGGATTTGTCTGTCATGACTTTGTTCTTTGTTTTAATAAAGAAGAGAGGACTGAGGAAATTGAAGCTTGGTAAAGATGATGGAATTTTCCATTTTTTTCTAGAAAGTTTGGAAATGAAGAGAAGACTCTTTAAACTAGTCTTCTAACCCTTTCAGTAATGCTTTTTTCTGGAAACCTGTTTTGCAGTGTTCCTGCAAGGGCTGGTGTGGGAACAAGCAGTGTGGGTGCAGGAAGCAAAAGTCAGACTGTGGCATGGACTGCAGCTGTGACCCCACAAAATGTCGGAACCGCCAGCAAGGCAAGGTAGGATCGGTGTTGTTTCCCCTCACCATCTCTTCAGGCCTCCCACTAGTTTCCACTCTTTTCTCTACCTTCCATCCTGAAACCTAGAGTCTCCTGCACAGCTCTTCCTACCCTTCTCCTTCCCTCTGCAGCCAGAAAAGGACATTTCACTTCTCAATTCTTCTCACTGCTAGCCTGTCCACACACTCTTCAGAAACCACAGCCCTTCCCAGGAGATTCTCAGGTATGCAGCTCCCCACCCCAGCCTTGGCTGTAAAGTTTCTATACAGTTTCTGAGGCAGAGCGAGGAACAGGAAAGCAGGCATTTACAGGCATAGAGACATGCAGGATCAAACTAGTCCAAAGGCTTAGCTGGAACTGTAAAAGCCACATGCTGAGGTGGCAGTTTCCAGGAAGGAAGTTAATCCTCCTGGTATCTTGAGACATTATAGTTACTTAGACCCTTTCCATGGGAACCAGTTAGTCCATGGCTCTAGGAAGAGACCCAGAGGAACCAAGTCTTTCATGAACCAAGTTAACTATAGCTGTCCTCCTTATATTGCTCCCAGGAGTAGAAAACTCAGGGAAACAAAATGTGCCATGAGGACTACCAAGCAGGTCAGATCCCTGTACTTACCTTATGCCTACCTGTGCCCTCAGCAAAAGCTCATTGCTACAACTCTGTGTGATATACAGTGATTCTAGCCCGCATAGTCTAATGATCATTATGCATTTCTTGAACATCTACATGTGAACAGTTTTGCCCTAGGTCTGTTATTAAAAAGACTTCTAAGATAGGTAGGCATCAGAGGACCAAAGTGGCAAGCTAGAGGTCAGACTAAGAATCATAGATATAGCAGGAACCTTAAGGATTCTCTATTCCCATGATTTTTCAATTTGGTTTCTAGAGTCCTGTAGTAGCTCCATGAAAAAGCCTCTGGGCAGAGGGGCATGGCCTGTGGAGGTTAAATTCCACGAAGCAACTTGCTCTTTACCTGTTTACATATTGGGCTTCCTCTTAGGATTTCAGTTGTAAAAACCACTGATCTAATCCAATGCTTCCAACTTTACAGAAAAGGAAACTGAGGCCCAGAGATAAGCTTAAATGACTCACCTGCTATTACACAGCTGGTCATGACAACTAAGATTAGATCTCAGGCTTTCTGACTCTCAATCCAGTCTGTTTCCATGACAATAAGATATAATTCTTTCTAATCCAAGCTCTACCACAGAGTCACCTTGTTACCTAAGCAACTTTTCTCTCTTGGACTCAGTTTCCTTATCTGAAAGGAATACTAATATAGACAACACCCTGTAGGGGTGCTAAAATAACATTACAGATTGTAGAGAGGGGAAGTTTAATGAAAGAAATGGCCAAGGCTTAGCCTTGTTTTAAACCTTGTCTCATGATCTGTCCTGTGCTGCTATCCTACCCAGTCCTTTCCCTTCAAAGCCTGCCTCCAAGAATTGCTCCATGCCTTCAGGGACAGAGCATGTCAAACACTATGACTTCTCCAAGCAGGGTCTCCCTAAGACTTGCTTAGACTGACTGATCAGGCACTCAGAGCTGGTACCTCACTGGTTCAAGAGGAGCAGACATTTTGTAACCCTAGTAGCCAGATTTATAATATGCCTGTCTACTTGATTCTTAGGATAGCTTGGGTGCTGTTGAACGGATCCAGGATTCCGAAGGCTCCTTCAAACTGGAGGATCCCACAGAGGTGACCCCAGGATTGAGCTTCTTCAACCCCGTCTGTGCCACTCCCAACAGCAAGGTAGGTGGGCTAAAAGGTAGGCACTGGAAAACTGTATTGGCATCCTTCTCTGCGTTAGCTATGACAGAGACCAGTGAAAGAAAGGAGGAGGGTAAAGGTATAATCAGCTTGCTGGGAACTGGGAATCAGGCATAGACTAGGGTCTTTTTGTTTTTTCCATAGAGCAATGTTAGGGGACACCTCATACTACTGGGAGTGTGTTGAGCATTTGTAGTGGCTCGGCTGGGTGGAGCTTCTGCCCTTTTCAGGGTCTATTCATACCTGTCTCTGTCCTTCCTAGATCCTGAAAGAGATGTGTGATGTGGAGCAGGTGCTGTTAAAGAAGACTGATCCAGCTTCCTCCTCCTTTGACTTCCCAGAGTTGAAACATGGGGCAACAGAATTCCAAGAAAGTAAGGCTCCAGGGAAGAAAAAGAAACGAGCTCTGGCCAGCAATACCAGCTTCTTCTCTGGCTGCTCCCCTATTGAAGAAGAGGGCCACTGATGTTGGAGTCATCATCTCTACCCCAGTCTGGCTTGAGACATGCTTTGAGGTTGCAGCCAGAAGGGTTCTTTAATGACTTCTCTGGATTTCAAGTTTCTTGCTGTTGAAAAAAGGGACAAAGTGTTACTGAAAGGAAGGGAACCTTTGTTGGATATTAGCCCTCAGTCCTCAGCCCCAGACTACTACTTTCTCTTTTCCAGAAGGGTGCTAAGCCCCTTACTGAAGAGAGAACCAATTGACCTTCCTAATGACTCATCAGGAACCAGTCCCCAGTACCATCTAGCTGTCCCTTATTTGTTAGCAGTTAAGGCTGTCCCCTCATGGGGATGAGGCTGAGGCTTTCTTGTCTCAGCTTAATGGAGGAGCCTGGACTAGGATAGAGGCCTGGCTCGGATCCTTCACCCCACCTCAGAAATGGGGTCTTGATCTTTCCTGCCTGACCTTCTCTAGATTTAAGTGTTTTAACAATACCATCAGTTGTCTTCCATGTTACTGAAGTAAATGAATTATTTTTAAATGTTAAGTAAATAAATAAACCTTAGCCTATCTACTAGTGTTCAGGAAGATCCTTCTGTACTAGAGGGAGAAATAAAATTTCAACCTGTGTTCCTCAGACCCTGGGGAAGCTATTAAGGAGATTCATCGCAAGCACCTGAGCCTCCATGCCTTGTAGCTGCCCCCTTTCGCAGAGGATAGTGTGGAGCATGATGTTGTATTTTTATGATGCTTTGCTACCCCAGGAAATTGGAATAACTCCAGCAAGGCCAGTGGCCTGACCACTGTAGATCCTGCCTGGCCTCCAGGTTTGTGAGGAAGGAACCACATTTACTGAGCATATCCATGTTCCTGCCACAATTTTATTTGCTCCTCACAAAAAAAGCTCAAGGTAGATAGGTGTCCTTATTTTGCTGATGAGGAAACTGGGGTACAAAGAAGTTAAATAACTTATCTAGAGTCACAAAGTTAGTAATAGAGCTAGGACTTGAACCCAGGTCAAACATCAAAGCTTCTGTGTGACTCCCTAGAGTGGCAGCAGCGGCCATTCCTAATGCCCTGTTGCCTGATTTCTTGGTATAGGATGGGCATGGGACCACACTGCTGTCCAGTCCCAGCACAGAACAGTACTGGCTCCTTGCTTTCTCCTTCAGGAGGGGAGAGGAGGAGCAAGGCTAACTCCTTACTATGCATCATGGTTCTCCATCTCTGCTTAAAGCTAAAAGAGGGTCAGCCCTGGAATGCCATACACAGGCTGCTGACTGGACTTGTAGCCTTCTGAGTTCATAAGCCCCAGGCCTCATATCCATGCATTCTGAATCCCAGCCCCCTCCCTCCCAAAAAAGCTCCCAAGAACTCAAAAACCAAGACTCCTCTAGAATCTACCAGAGCCCAAACAAAGGAAATTGAACAACAACCTGCCTAGAATGAAGCCTGCAGAGGGCTAGGTAACCTGCCAGCCTTCCTTGGCCTCCTGCCAGCCTTCCTTGGCCTCCTGCCAGCAAACAGTCCTGCTTCTCTTTGCATTTTAAAGCAGAGGGAGCAAGGGAGCCTCTGCCATTGCCAACTAGAGCCTCTGGATACAATGGGAAGGCTGAGAGGGAGGGGGGCTGGCTCTTGGCATAAGAGAGCCAGTCTTCCTTCTCGCTGTTTGAAATCCAGTGTGTGGGAGGGTGAGGGGTAAACAGACTTATCCTCAGAGAAGACATCCTTTCCCACCAATGCTGCACTAGTCCCCAGACTTCAAGTCACTGCATCAGCCAAAATGTAGAGGGGAAGTCAATCAAGCCAGCCCCAGCCCTTATCCCACCCAGATCCTGTGCTTTAATGCTAAGCTGACTCTACAACTTGCTAGCCAGCCCTCTCCTGCTGATGCTATAGTAACAGCATCAGCAGAACAATGTGTGTTCATCTTCCAAAAGCCTATGACTCTAATATACTATACATTCCTCAAATGATTCTTGGAAAGAGACTTTAGATGCTGTGGGAACAAGGCAGCACAAATGATGCCAGTCTCAGCTTCTCCTGACTGGGGTGATGGGGGAAGTGGAGAGCTCCTAGTGTCACCTAGGAGCCACAAGGCCCATGGGGACCCCTGGTCCAGAAGCAGGGCATTGTGTTTCCCCGAGTTCAGGAAGTAGCTTGCAACTACATCTCTTACAGATGCACCTTGCAGAACTGGGAGTAGGAGCCCAAGAGGCTAATGAATCAAGGCTGTACTCCCAGGGAGCTTGAGACTAGATGCTAGACTTCCTCACACACACCCCTTTCCAGGGGGCTGGCTGGGCCCCTTCTCCTCACTGCCAAGTTGCAACGTTGTGTGGTCACCTCCCCCCAGCTTCCCGCCTGCCTGTGCCCTCAGCCCTCGCCTCCCTCAGCCAGGACAAAGCCCCGGCAGTGACTGGGAGGGGAACAGGAGGAGGGACAGAGGGACGGGGAAGTCTGCACAAAGGAATTCCTCACCCCAAGCCCCCTGACTGCCAGCAAGTAAAGAAGAGAAGCAGATCTGCTCTCCCTCCTCCTCCCTGCCATCTTCCCACCCAAGCTGGGCCCAGGCCATAGAGCAGCGGCAGGCCTCCCAAGAGGACCCACACAGCCTCCTGTAGGTAGCAACAGTGCCACCTGTTTGACCGGTGAGGCTTGAGCCAAGGACTGGAAGAGGGAGGAGACAGACAACTCTGGAGAGGAGCTGGGAAGCAGTGCAGAACAGAGAGCAGAGCAGAGCAGAGCTGCCGCTGAGAAAAGGTGTGAGGGTGCCGCGGGAAGGCTGGGGCTACAGACGGGAGCTGTGGGGCAGAGACGGGCTGTATCTGGCAGGGATTGTGCCAGGAATTGAGCAGCACCTCTTTCAGCTCCCCTGCTTGGGGTTTTCAGGCTGCTCAGATCCTGATCCCATTCTACAGCTCCTGGAGGGAGGTGGGACTCTGGAAGGCAGTGTCTGGGGTACAGGGGTAGGGAGGGCCCACGGGAGGCAAGAGGTGTTGACTGGAGCTCAGGGCAGGCTACTACAACCTAGTCCCAGGATGGGCAGAGGCAGGAACCTTCCTTGGGGTTGTTTTTCTCCTGGCAAGGGTCTCAGGGAGGAAAGAGGTTTCCTTTGCCCAGCCCTTTCACCAGCTCCAGCCCCCCACTCTTCCATCCCCTATTCTAACTCTCCTTTCCCAAGGAGCACAGAGTAAGGAGGGCAGTTTCAGGAGCAGCCACACCCTTTCTCCTTGCAGGGGCCTAGCCACTGTGCACCCCCCTAAGACTCCACAGCCTCAAGGGAGCCCGGATGACAAGGGATTGTGTCCTTTAGAACACACACACACACACACACACACACACACACACACACACACTTTGGATGTATCCAGGGGCTCCTTTACATACTTAAAGTCATCTAGAAACCCATTTGTACTGACAGCCACTAGTGCACACGCACATACATATGCTGACACAAATCACACACCCTCTTGTGTAGAGTCACAATCATACACCCAACCCTGTTTGGGAATCAGTTCTGTCTCTCAGCCAGACCCAGAAGCACAAGGCACAGGAATCCCCTGCCCCAAAACAACCACAGCTACACACTCACACCTTTGTCTTATATTTGTTGTACTTTCACCAAAGCTAACTCAGAGGATGGGGCCCCTGAAAGGGAGAAGACAGGACTGGGTTTCTTGTCAGGGTGGGGAATGTCAGGCTGACTGGGCAGAAAAGGACAGAACTGAGGTGGGAGGGCTTGGATTTTGGGGGTGTGTTGGGGTAGAGAAAGGGTTCCTTTAGAAGGCTGGAAGTGACCCAGGCAACCTGTTTCCCTCAAGTCTTCCTCTTATTGGCAGTGCCCCCTGTTCCCCGGGAGATGGGCACAGAGAATCTTTTAGTCAGAGCTTTGTGATTTGTGGAATCTCTGTATCCATAGCAACTGGCCAACTGGGTGGGCCTCCCTTAGCCCCAGGTCAGAACTGGAACCTCTGCTTCAGGTTATTCCTGCTTCCTGGTGTGGAAGGCAACTCAACATGGGGCTGCCTCAAGCTTGGCCAGATTTGCCTCAACTTGCTGAACTGAGTTTGCCTCACCCTAGGCAGTTTCTCCTGAGTTCCCACCCAGGGCAAGCACTTCATCCCCAGAGCTGGATGGGGAAGAGCTAGAGAGAGTGGGTATGCATCCTGCCTGCAAAGAGGCTGGACCTTCTGGGTATCCCACTGACTTTCCAGGTATCAAGATTAAAGGGAAAGACCCCAGAGATTGTCCCCCTTTGCCAGGCTTGGCGCTAGGGCTGCTCACCTCATCCACTCTGGCGCTCTGGGCCTGCCCTGTGACCTCCATTCCTGAACAGCGGCCCAGGCCTCTGCCCCTCCCCCAGGCTTCTCAGATACACTGGGAGGGAGGCTGGGATCTGCCCTCTGCCAGGGTCCCTGATGGCCGAGTGTCCCTTCCCCCAGGCCTTCACCATGGCCGAGTCCCCCGGATGCTGCTCCGTCTGGGCCCGCTGCCTCCACTGCCTGTATAGCTGCCACTGGAGGAAATGCCCCAAAGAGAGGATGCAAACCAGCAAGGTTGAGTAGGGATGGGGAGGTGGGGAGTCTGGAAGTCAGAAGGCAGAGACCAATTTGAGGGGATAAGGAGGCCAATCGTGCTCATCGGCAGCTGGGGGGAAGGGGCTTTCCCTCCCCAGGAAGAAAAACTCGCTCAAATATAGCAAGAGCTGCCCCCAGAGCAGAGTAGCCCGATGCATGGCAGGAAGCTCCCCTGAGATGCCGTCTGTTGGGGACTCTGAGCTTGAAATGGGAATCGACTGTGAGCTTCTCTCCTGCCCCTTTGCAGTGCGACTGTGTCTGGTTTGGCCTACTCTTCCTCACCTTCCTCCTCTCCCTGGGCTGGCTGTACATCGGGCTCATCCTTCTCAATGACCTGCACAACTTCAATGAGTGTGTCATGGACCCCCTCCACTCCGCCTTCCTCAGCATACATGTTACCCTACTCCCCACCCTGAGACCCCTTGTGCTCAGCTCCCATTGTCAGTCATTGCCTAGCCCTGCCCAGCCCCTGAAGTTCAATTCTCCTGCTACCCAACCTCCTTAGAAATTCCCTCCATGAAATCTCCCCAATCCTTGGAGCCCCTGGCTACATGAAGGACTTTTCCCTCACTCCCTTCTAGTCCTCCTTCTGGATCCACCCACCCTAACTCCCCTCAGGCCACTATTGACACCCCTTACCCCACTTGGACACCTCCCTCTCCCCTCCCACAGATTCCTATTCCGCCACTGGGGACACTGGATGGACTGGTCCCTGGCATTCCTGCTGGTCATCTCTCTACTGGTCACATATGCATCCCTGCTACTGGTGGGTCCAGGGACAGCGAGCTAACCACCACCTCAGTCCCTACTTCTTACTCAGCTCTATGCCCTTGTTCTCACCCTAGCCACTGAGGGGAGGGGGTTAATTCTTGGGTAGGAGGGAGGTGCCAGCCTGGGAAGCCCACCTCAGTGTTCTTGCCCCACCCTTGGCACATCATAAGTCCCACCACCCTCTGCCCCCAGCTCCTGGCCCTGCTTCTGCAGCTCTGTGGACAGCCTCTGCACCTGCACAGTCTCCACAAGGTAGAGTGGGGATGGAAATAAGTGGGAGAGGAGGTCACTGGGCCCAGTGCTTGGCTGGCTATTTGCTGAGGACCTCACTTTTATATATCTGGGGTCAAGCCCAGGACCTGAAGCCCAGTAAATGAGGGTACTTCAAAAAGTTCATGGAAAGATTCCTATTATCTTTTAATGCTATTTTTCCACAAATTTTTTGAAGTACTGTCATATTCGTTGAGTGAAAGAAAGTGAGTGTGTCAGGAGGAAAGAGTCCTGTCTTCATAGAGTGAGGAGGCAGCCCACATAACCACAAGCCCAGGTTGACAAAGAGGGCCCCATTCATCCCTGGTCCCCCAGGTGCTGCTGCTCCTCATTATATTTCTTGTGGCCGCTGGCCTTGTGGGACTGGACATCCAATGGCAGCAGGAGTGGCATAGCTTACGCCTATCACTGCAGGTGAGTGGCCAATCTCCAGTGCCTAGGTGGGAGCCTTTGCCTGCAGCCAACCCCAGAACATGTCTTGTTCCCTGGTCCGCCAAGACTTTGGGTAGCTCTGAACTCCAAAAGTCAGGCCTAAGAGGAGGGGGGGAAGGGCACTAGGAAGAAGAGCCCCCCTCACTAACTCCTGTCCACAGGCCACAGCCCCATTCCTTCATATTGGAGCAGTCGCTGGAATCACTCTTCTGGCCTGGACTGTGGCTGATATCTTCTACCGTATCCACCAAAGAGGTGCCAACTCCACCCCCCACTCACCCCCACTGGCCACCACCTGCCACCCGCCTCCACCCGCCTGGCTCCCTGCACCTGCACTCTACTTTCTGCCACCAGAGTACCCCCATTGCCCTTTCTCCAAAGCCTATCCCCACTCCCCATAGGTGCCAAGATTCTGCTACTGCTTCTATTTTTGGGAGTTACCCTGGTCATCTACCTGGCCCCCCTATGCATCTCCTCACCCTGCATCATGGAACCCAGAGACTTACCTCCCAAGCCTGGGCTGGTGGGACACCGAGGGGCCCCCATGGTGAGTGTGTTGGGAAGAATGCTGGGAGGGGAGAGAGGGTTTGCTCCTCTGGGCTACAGCAGCCAGTCCTGTGAGTTCCTAGGCTCCCACCCTTTCCTGCTACCTCCTTACTAATTCCCTTTCCCAGCTGGCACCCGAGAACACCCTGATGTCCCTGCGGAAGACAGCTGAATGTGGAGCTGCCGTATTCGAGACCGACGTGATGGTCAGGTGAGAGAGGCTGGGGCTTAAAGGACCTGGGAGGCTGAGGGACACAGCATGGGAGCTCAGGAAATTATATCCAGCCCCACAGCTTGGCCTCAGACACCCCTTGTGCCCTCAGCTCCGATGGGGTCCCCTTCCTCATGCATGATGAGCACCTGAGCAGGACCACGGATGTAGCCTCTGTGTTTCCAGCCCGAATCACAGCCCACAGCAGTGACTTCTCCTGGGCTGAACTGAAGAGACTCAATGCTGGGGCCTGGTTCCTAGAGGTGAGGACAGCTTCTGGGAAGAGGCAACCACCTGCAGGGGCACTCAAAAAGGGCAGAGTTCATTCCATTGATAAGCATTTGCTGAGCTTTGTGCTGGGCAGTAGGAACACAGTCTCTGCCTTCAAGTCACTCCCACCTAGTAAGAAAGAGCCGAGGCAACAGACAATCAGAAGAAGAAACCTAGAGCAATAAATATATTTTTCCTGGGTAGAGAGGAGAGAGAGCAAAGTCATTGTTGGGCAGGGTGAGTGTGGGAGAGGATCAGGAGTGGATTCATACAGGAGAGGATGCATGAGCAGCATATGACATGAGTTTTCTCATAAGATGTGCAAGGCAGAGAAAGGGAATTCTAATCAGAGAAAGGAGCACATGTAAAGCCCAGAAGTATAAGAAAGTGTGTTTCCAAGGAACAAAAAGTGGTTCAGTGTAACTGGGAGATACAATTCACAGGAGTGGTGAGGAGCAGAGGACTGGTCTTGAAGGGCTTTGAATACCAGGCCCCAAGAGTGTGTACTTTAGGTGGTAGAAAATATTTAAAAGGATAGTTGTTTTTTTCAGTTCCTCTTTTCCTGATTAAAAGAGTAATATATGTTTGTTGTAAAATAAGTAAATAAATAAAACATCAGAGAAATAACTTAGAAGTTGAAGTCTCCCATAATCCAGTCCCAGTGATATATTTATTGTTTGTGTAAATATTTTATTTTGCACAAATAGGATTACTCACAGACTCTTGCAATTTGCTTTTTTTTTTTTTTTTTTTCATTTAACTCTATATACAATGTCACACTAGAGTGATAAAAAGCAAGGGATGTCTAGGTTTGAACCCTGGCATCCTGGCTCCACCACTTTCTAGCTGTGTGACCCTGGGCAACATTCTTTAGTCTCTCTGTGCCTCAATTTCCATAACAGTACCTACATTGTAGGGTTATTGGGAGGATTAAGTCAGTTAGTACACATAAAGTGCTTAGAACACTGCCTGGACCATAGTAAGTGTTCAATAAGTGTTAGATAGCTAGCTTTATCAATGTCAGCAATTAGGAGGTGAGGTCATTCATTGGTAATTAGGGGAGGAGAGGAGAGTGGTAAAGAGGGGGAATGGGAGAGGGAGTAACTCAAGAGCTCAAAGGATTGCTAAGCAGTACTGGGGGGGGAGGAAGGATAATGCCGACAGTCCACATGGTGTGCTGTGCCTATGGCAGTGCTCAGCCTCCAGTTATAGGGTGGAGGAGGCAAACAGTTGTAGAATAGAATCAGAGTTTGGGAGTTGTAGGGCAGCTGGGGCAGGAAGGGAGTTGAGAGTGATGTGGAAAAATAGTTAAAGCTATGGGGACCGTGGGTACGGGATGTAGGTGTGGCCAGAAACGGGCTGATAGACTGGAAGGAAACCAAAGTGTCAAGATCCCAGAGGTCTCTGCGAGACCAAAGAGAAGGTGTAGTGGGAGAGAGGAAGTTAGGAAACTGGAAGGGAGGTCACAGAGTAAGGTATTAGATGGTCTGGATGAAGGCCACAGTTTGGAGAAAAAAGATCCTGGCTCAGAGGTGGGCAGAAGCTGGACACCAAGTAGGGGATGTGAGTGAAGATGGTGAGAATGGAGGGAAGGCCTGGAGGTCTCTTCTGCTCTTGAAATAATTTTCCTTTCTTACAGAGGCAGCCCTTTTGGGGGGCCAAGCAGTTGTCGGGCCCTGATCAGAAAGAGGCTGAGAATCAGACAGTACCAGCATTAGAAGAGCTATTGAAGGAAGCTGCAGTCCTCAACCTTTCCATCATGTTTGACTTGCGCCGACCTCCACAAAACCACACATACTATGACACTTTTGTGAACCAGACATTGGAGACTGTACTGAGGGCAAGGGTGCCCCAAGCCATGGTGATGTTGCCAGGACTCCCAATGGCCTCCTTTGACCCCTCTCCCCACCCTGCATTCCCTTGGACATATAATGATTTTGAGGCTGCCCCCTGTCCCAGGACCCCACCCCAGCTCACATAACACATTCTGTGGTCAAACCTCTCTGCCTTCACCCCTATCTCTGGAATCCTTAGGTCTTCCCCAGCTTCATGTCCATTCTCCCCGAACCACAGGTCCTTTGGCTACCAGATGAAGATCGGGCTAATGTCCAACAACGGGCACCCAGAATGCGCCAGATATATGGACAGCAGGGAGGCAACAGAACTGAGAGGCCCCAGTTTCTCAACCTCCCCTATCAAGACTTGCCACTGTTGGATATCAAGTGAGTGCTAGGGGAATGTAACCAAGGGGATCACATGAGGCTTAATGGCAGAGAAGAACCAATGCACGGAGGGCAAAGGCTATTTATTCATTCATTCACTCATACAACAAATATTTATTGAACACTTGCTATGTACCGGGTAGTATTTATTACAGGCTTTGGGGACACAACATGAATGAGACAAAGTCCCTGCTTTTGTGGAATTTATGTATTAGTGAAAGAGACAGGCAATAAACAAAATACATGTATATTAGATACTAACAAGTGTTATAAAGACAAAATGGGGAGATGTAGTACAGGGGCTACATTAGGAAGAATGGTTAAAAAGGTGATGTCTGAGTTGAGATCTGAATGGTCACAAGGAGCTAACTATGAGAAGAGCTGCAGAAGAATAGGAACAGCAGCCTAGTGAGCAAAGGGAAGGTGAAGCTAAAGAGGTAGGCAGGGGCCAAATTGGGTAGGCCATGAGATGGATTTCAGCTTTTATTCTACACGAAAGAGATCAGTGTAACAGAGGATGGACGCAGGGGAGAGAGAGGCGAGAGAGTCCCAGATGTGAGCTGGCCTCTAGAAGCTGACCCAGCCAGTAATCATGATGGACTTCAAAGCACACAGTTGCCAAGGTCTCTTTAAAATGTGGTCAGATAGAAAAATGTGAACTAAATGATGGACCAGTTATGATAAGTATTTCAAGGACTTTTCCCCAAGTTGTCACCATGAAGGGAGACATGACATAGGGTTTGGTCCTCACCTTAGTCTTGTCCTGGTCAATATCAACTGCTGATCATGTTTACAAAAGACATGAATTGGTAATGAATACACTGATGATGGAATCAAAGCCCTGAAAGGTCTAAATGCTCTAAAATGAAGGCCAAATCTAGCAAGATGAAATCCAACAGGGAAAGATATAAAGGCCTATATTTGGGGCCCAAAAGAATTACAGTTGCACAAAGACAAGAGAGGAGACACAGGCATCAGCAGCAACATGTGTGAAAAGAACCAGGGCTTTGATTGAATAGTGTGCATAGTGAGTCATCAGTGAGACATGACATTGCTGAAGGCTAACCTGACTCTGGGCTACCTTCATACAAGCAAGCATAGTTCCCAGAAGGCAGGAGGAGATAGTTTTGCATTACTCAAAGCTGGTCCAAGCCCATCTGGGATATCATGTTCAGAGGTAGCCCCATACTTTCAAAGGAACATTGATAAATTGGAGTAAGATCAGATTAGAGAGGCTTGTATGGTGCAGGAAATAATAACCTAGGACCCAAGAGACTTCAACAATAACCTATTATTATTTTAAATAATAACCTAAGAACCAAGAGATTCAAGAGATTGAAGGAAATGGAGCTGTTAGACCTGGAGAAGAGAAGGCTCAGGGAAACGCAGCCTCTGTTCCTCAGACTTCTGAAGGGATATCATGGGACAAAGGGGAGAGATACATTTGTGTGGCCCCAGATGGCAAAGCTAAGACCTGTGGGTAAAATCCACCAGGAGACAGAGTTCGGCTACGCAAAGAAAATCACTTTTGGTCAGGGGCTGCTATGCGAAGGTAGGACTGATACCTCCTTGACAGTGACACTATAGATTCAAGCACAGGCAGGGGGCTGCCTTCCATGCCTCATACACCACAATTCTAGATGTTCCCTGTTTCTTTCCCACTTCCACAGGGCATTGCATCGGGATAATGTCTCAGTGAACCTATTTGTAGTGAACAAGCCCTGGCTCTTCTCCCTGCTCTGGTGTGCAGGGGTGGATTCGGTCACCACCAATGACTGCCAACTGATGCAGCAGATGCATTACCCAGTCTGGCTTATTGTAAGGGCTCTGTAACTGTCACCCCTCTTCCTCTTCTCCCATCCCTGGTTCTCCTTAATCCTGTCCCTCTCTTCCTTACTTATTTCCCTCCCATATACTTCCCTTGGGGCCTTTTCCTATTCCCACAGCCCCCTCAAACCTATCTAATGATGTGGATCATTGCCAATTGTATCTCCACCTTGCTGCTTCTGTGGACCTTCCTCCTCCAAGGGTGAGTGCTTTGTGCCTCAGCTGCCTGGATTCTTACTTTCCCCAGACTCTGGTGATGAGGCTGATTCAGACTCATATGTGCCACCTGTGCCTTGAGGTCTCCTCTGAGATTCTCAGGCCCTTCCTTATACCACTATATTGGCTGGAACCTGGGAAAGGCAGTTTGTGGGGGGGGCCCAGGGTTGGAAGGTCCTGCTTGAAGCTGGCTGAACTCACAATGGGAGGCTTTTCTTTCTATAGGAGATGTGCTAAAGAGAGAGAGAGAACTGGTAAGAACTTTCCCTCCTCACCTCATTTTTCTCTTCCTCTAGCCTTCTCCTTGCTCCCTAGATGACCCACCCTCTCCCCCACTCCCCAGGTTTAGAGACAGCAGTGCTGCTGACCAGGATCAACAAGTTCATAAGGGAGTGAATACCCTGCCCTGGCCCCCCATCAGCTGGATTCTGAGGCCTGTCTGCATTGGCCAACAGCAAGGGAAGGAGGGTGGCTAAAGTGGAATGTCTTGGGCATAGTGGATTGTGGTGAGGATAACTTTGCCAACAGGAGGTTTCAAACCATGTGGTGGGGCCTGTGCCCAGATGGTGGGCATGCCATTAAATCTGCTCCCCATGGGATTTTGACCTGAGATGGTTGGGAAGACAGTGAGTCATGAGAAGTTTCTCCCAAAATGAAACTAGAAAAGAGGAAGCAAAAGAGAGATTGCCAAGATAATGTCTCAGACTTGTGTGCACATGCCCTTGTGTAGAAGGCACAGGGTGTGTCAGGGTGGTACAGCTTGGAACAGTGACTGAAGGTAATGACAAAATGGCCTTTCCTGAACAACTGTAAGATGATGGACACAACATCCTCACTCCGTGTACTGTCTCCCCTGACCCTTGCAATTTTAGCTGCTTTCCTGCCTAGAGGGTAAGAGCTAAAGAGCCCATCTAGCTATGTTTTTTTTTTTTTTTTTTTTTTTTTTAAAGATGACTGGTAAGGGGTTCTCAACCCTTGGCTTGGTGTTGTCAGCACCACGCTCAGATAGTGAGCAAACCGGCCATCCCTATATAGGATCCGAACCCGGGGCCTTGGTGTTATCAGCACCACACTCTACCGAGTGAGCCACGGGCCGGCCTAGCTATGTAAATTTGTGCCTACAGGTGGCTTTTTGCTGTGTACAGCCTTTTCTTCAAGACAGGTTGGTTCCTGTATCTTGTTGGTTAATCTGTTACTTAACGAATTTAATTCCCATTTGGTCACAGTCTAATCTTTTCGGCGCTGGGACTGGGAGGAGGATGCATCTGCCATCTAGGGTTGGATGTGACACGACACTGAGGGATCATCAAGGGGAGATTCGTGGGTTGGAGGTGGGAGGAGAACCACCCGGGTCAATGAAGAACTGCCAGAGGCAAGCTGGAGAGTAGCCGCCACGGGGGGCGTTCCTGGTGGCGTGCCTTGCCAGGTTGCGTTGTAGCTCCACCTTGTGGTCACCTGCCCCAAGAGGAGGGCCGTGTCTGTCGTCACCATGACGTATTTGCTGAATACCACCTGTTTTCCAGGCCGGTTGGTGACTTATGTCCTTGACTCCGGACTCAGAGGGCACGGTCCTATTTCCACGAGTTTTCGCTCCTCTGGGCTGCACGCAGGGTAGGGGTTTGGCCTAGCCTTCCCCTCGAAGAGCAAGTTCCCCAGTGTGTTTGCTGTTCGTGAGTCCCCGGGCTAAACAGTTGAAGTGGACAGTGCGGAGCTGGCCTAGGATGTGGAGTCTGGTAGAAGGGGGAGGGGCTAATGCAAAAACGGGGACAGGAGTGGGCTCTGTGGCTGACCGTAAGTCCTCCACTGCACAGACATTAGCCCTGGTTCGTGTCTCCACACGGAGGAAATTCGAATTAAGGCCAGGTAAGGTCAGGAGGTTCAGTATTCGATTCCTCCTTTCTCTCCAGACTGGGACCTGGGCAGCACTAGAGCCTCGGAACAAGACCCTACCCCTCAGTTGCAGGATAGCCATGGGAACTACAATACCCAGTATACCCCTGGCCATTTCCGGTCTCGGGATTGACCGAGATGAGTTTGAATTTGTGTTCTCGCCCCCTCCTCCTCTCGAACCCCGCCCCTTCCCTTCTCTCGCCGTCCCGCCCCCTCCATGCGCACACATGCACATACATACCCAGGCAGCCGTCCACGCCGACATACCTGGCCTGCAGCTGGCGCGGTGGGCGGGGCACCGGCGTGCGACGTGCGGGCCGGTTGGAGGCGCATCCGGAGTGAACGACACGGTCGCCGCGCTGGTCCGAGTCTTCTTGGGGGTCCACGCTGCCGTGTACCGGGCAGGTCTCCTTCACACGCTGCCTTTTCAAGCTGCATTTTCTTACATTTCCCCGTTCCCAGTCCCTCCCCTCCGTCAGGCCAACCACTGGCCTCGGCTCTGGGACCCCCAGCCTGTCAGGTACTGCCGGGCTTTCATCTCTCAGCACGTACCTCCCCCCACCCCTACTTTTCTGTCTCCTCCCACTCGCCCAGCCTCGCAGCCCTGCAGCCTCTTCCTCCACCTCTCCACCTCACCCTGAGGACTTCCAGCGTCTCCACCCCCGCAGCCCCAAACTCTCAGCTCCCAGGCTCACAGCTCCAGTCCTATAACCTCAGCGTCCAGCCCCATCCCCTAACCCCTTGCTCCTAGCCCCTAGCTTTGGGTAGTCAGCCCTGAGCCTGCCACCCGGGAAGCACTAGACAGCCCTCTCTTCCCAGGAGGACTGGACAGCTATAGCACACTTAACCTCTATGAGGCCCTAGACTGGAGACTGAGACTGACAAAAAGTTGAGGGAGGCAGGCCACGGGGAGCTGCTCATTGGGGTTCGGGTGCAGTTGCTCTCCGATATTTTTAGCTTCTGACTCACAGTTCCTGGCATCCGGGTTTGGGGCTAGTAGGCTGGGCTAGGGGGCTATTAATAGAGCGGAGGCACAGCCCGGGCTCAGTTCAGTTTAGAAACACAGGGAGCAAGGAGCCTCCCCCTCCTGCCATCATCCCCTGTGGAGATGTGGACTGAGGCAGTGGTTGGGCCAGATGCTCTCTGGCAGCCAATTACCTCAGCCTGGTATCTCTACCTTGAAACTCTTGAGGGAAAGCGCATGAGAAGACTACTGGGCACAGCTCTCCCCTGAGCTTGCCGTGGCCTGGGGCTCTGCCACAATGAAGCTTCGGTTGTACCAGCTGAGGGGGAAGCGACAAGTCCCAAATGAAGAGGTTATTGTGGCCACGGCTTTGGCCTGCCTGGGCCTACTCTAGGGCCAGAATGCTAGGTTGCTAGGATCAAAAGCTCCCAGCAAAGGCCCCAAAGGCCATCATAAGCTTGGTCCTAACAGAGGGAACACAAAGCCAGGGATCCCCAAACCGACACAGAACTAGGAAGCTGCCAAATTCTGTGTTTACCACTGTCCGATTCTTTTTAACATTTCTTTCCTTCTTTTTGGGCACTGTCCCTATTCACAGGGGTCCACAGACCTCATGATCTCTACCTTCTCTGTAGAGAAACCTAATTCAGCAAAACCACTGAGAAACTTGTCCCCAGTGAGGTATGAACAATCCTTTATATATTGCCATTCCCATGGGGCCTTTTTATTTTAATAGGCTAAAGTAAGAATTTCCTAATGCATGCGTTGGGAATGGTGGGTAAATCTTGATACCTTACTGGACTAATCAACAAAATAATTCCTACCCGCACCCAATTTGCTAGAATTCCCATTGAGTAAGAATTCACATCCACAACAGTGCCCCTCAACACCTTGCAAACCAGAAACTTCTGCCTTCAACGACACTGTCTTCAGCCCCCAGATGAAACCACATTTGGGGCAAGGATGATAGTTTCTCTACACACATAGGCTGGGGTCACCCAGTGAAGTTCTGTTTTCAAGAATAAGCCCAGATTATCAGACGGCAGTGGGTGCACTGCCCCATCACTGTCTATTTGCTGAAGGTGCGGTGAAAGGTCTCTCTCCTCACAAATCCCTTCTCCAACTCCTCCATCGCCTCAGTCTCAGCAAAGGCCACTCGGTCGCCTAGCAACCACAGCCACCTATAGGGTTGTGGGGCTGCTTTCCGCCCGTAGGGGGCGCCTGTCTCCCTGGGGGCCTCAGTCTGGAACCCTAACAGCTGGGAGGGAGTTCCCTTGCTAAGTGTCAAAGCGTCTCAGTGTTGTTGACCTCCTCCCAGGCTTGTCAACCCAGTCCAGTCTGAGTGTCAGACAGCCTGTGGAGTGGGAAGCAGCTCTCTGTGAATCTGAAGGGATTTTACTCAGATTCATTAAAAAATGGGAGAGAGGGAAGGAGAGGAGGAAGGAAGGAAGAAAAGAAATGAGTCAAAGGGGATGGGGGCATGGGGAGGGCAGTTGGACTCTCTATTCACTCCAGACTTGGCAATGCTTATTCCTTAATCAGAGCAGTTCGGGGGGCCTAGGCTACAAAGGGCTATTTTCCTGAGCCACTTTTAGGATGTAGAAAGGAGTCTAGCACTCTCTACTGACAAACTGCTGAGCATATAGAAGACTTTAAGCTCCTGGGTTACCAGCCTAGCCTAGATTTGGTCATTAAGAAAGATAGTCATTCATTCATTCACTCATTCATTCAACAATAATAATTAACACTAATCCACTAGGTAGCAGGTGGTGTGCTGAGTGTTCTACATTTAATACTCATAAAAACACTATGGTTATTTCCATTTCACAGAAAAAAGAAACTGAGTCTCAGGGAAGTTAATGTCCAAGGTCACACAACTAGTAACTGGGTTGGGTCTGATTGAACAATCACTGTGTGTCAGGGTCTAAGAATACAGAAAATGAGATATTTCTCTCTTTTTTCTACCTAATGACACTTAGTCACCCTTCAGAACCAAACTAAAAATGTCATTGCTTTGTGAAACTTTTCTTAAGTCCTCTTCCCTCACCCCCACAAGTCAAGTTAATAACTTGCTTTTCTGTACACCCCTCTGAAATAGCACTTTTCACAGGTATTGTAATGATCTGCTTCCATATTTCCATATTTCTCTAACTTTGAGCACCTTGGTGGCCAGGACTATGTTCATCTCCACTTGGGTGTCTAATAGACATCTCAAACTCAATGTGTCCAAATCTGAACACCTGATATTTTCCCCCAAAATGACCCCTCCTAAATCTGCCCTCGCCTCAGTCAGTCAATGTCAATTTCACCTTTCAGTTGCTCTGACAAAAGATCCTTGGAACCATAACTCATATCCAGTTAGTCAGCAAATCCTGTCAGCTCTCCCTTCAAAACACACCCAGAATCCAACCACTTCTCATCACCTCCAGTGCTACCACCCTGGTCCAAGCCACAATCACCTTTCAGCTTGATCACTTCAGTAGCCTCCTGACTGGTCTCAATGCTTCCACCCTTGCCCCCTGTGGCCTATTCTCCACAAAGAAGCCAGACCAATCCTGCTAAACCCAAGGCACACCATGTCAGTTCTCCCTCCAATGGCTCCCCATTTTTCTGAGACTAAAGCCAAAATCCTTACGATGGTTTACAAGGCCGTACATAATCTGGTTCCCTGTTACATCTCTGATCTCATCTTCTGGTACCCCCCCCCCCCCCCC